AGGGTGGCTTGGAAACAAGAGAAATTGATTTATTGCAGTTTTGGAAGCTGAAAGTCTAAGACCAAAAGTGCCAGCGTAGTAGCTGACTTCTGATGACAGCCCTCTTTCAGGTTGCAGACTGCTGACATTTCCTCATTTCATTGCAGGAAGAAGAGCTCTCTAGGGTCTTTTTTTTTTTTTTTTTTTTTTTTTCCCCCATAAGGGCACTACTAATCCTATTTGATGGGGGAGTGAAGACTCCCCCATCAAAACTCAATTACCTCCCAAAGGCCCCACCTCCTAACACTCCACATTGGGGGTTAGAATTTTAACATATGAATTCAGAGAGGACATAAACATTCAGCCCCTAACCAGTACCCAATATATGTAAATATGATGAGCCCGATTTAAGGCAATGGGATTGTATACATGCTAAAGTTTGTTTTTTGTTTTTTATAGAGGGAGTATTACTCTGTTGCCCAGGCTGGAGTGCAGTGGCAGCATCTTGGCTCACTGCAACCTCTGCCTCCTGGGTTCAAGCAATTCTCCTGCTTCAGCCTTCTGAGTAGCTGGGATGACAGACATGCACCACCACACTGGACTGATTTCTTTGTATTTTCAGTAGAGACTGGCTTTCACCATGTTGGCCAGGCTGGTCTCAAACTCCTGACCTCAGGTGATTTGTCTACCTCAGCCTCCCAAAGTGCTGGGATTAAAGGTGTGTGCCACTATGCCAGGCCAAAGTATTTTTTAATGTAAGATTTCATTGTATGAGTCACTGTAAAATGCTACCAATTAGCCAGGTGTGGTGGCAGCCTCCTGTAATCCCAGCTGCTCAGAAGGCTGAGGCAGGGAGAATCACTTGAACCTGGGAGGCGGGGATTGCAGTGATCACACCATTGCATGCTAGTCTGGTGACAGAGTCAGAGTCTGCCTCAAACAAACAAACAAAAAAAGACAAAAGAAAGTTTTACTAACTCAGCAATCATTTGATATAATCTCTCATTTGATATAATGCCTCAATGATAATTTTGCAAAACACAAACTGGTTACATCATGCTCAACTTTGCTTGTAAATTTTTTCAGGTTATTTTGAAGAATTTCATAATTTTACCTGCCTTCAATAATATTGTATATGTGTGTTTGCATATATGTGTGTTTTGGAAGGCACAACTTGAATTACTATGAGATATTTTACTTTCTGTGGTACTTTAAAGCTTGTTGCTTTGCCAGAAAATGCATAACTGTGGTTATTCCTCTAAGAATTCAATTCACATCTCACTGGTGTTTCTCCATGCTTTTTGCTTTTGTTTTGTTTCAATGCTGATACTGTAAAAAATTTCAAAATATGTTAAATGTCAATTAAACGTAACACCAATAGTACCAGAAATTGATAGCTGCTAAAAACTCCATTGATGTGATAGTAATTAAAACACCTATGACTAATTTCATATGTGTACATTATGCAGGAACATTTATCTTATATCTCAAAAGCACTAAATTAATGATAGCTTGATTTTTGTTACCATGCTAAAACATTTTCCAATCATCCTGCCAGAGGTAGATTCCTTTGAGGTTTGCTATGGCCAAAAGCTCCCTTTGAGCTGAGACTTACCCCATCTTGGCATCTTCTCATCTCAACTACCTGGCCAGGTGCAAGTCTTCTTTCTGCCTTAGGGGCTTCCATTTCTACCTGGTCTGCTCATTAGTACTGGCAAGTGAAATCCCCTGCCCCTCTTGCAATCTGCAGCTAATGGGTAACAGGTACTGACTGACTGGGGCTATTGTCCTTCAAAGAAAAGTTCTCTTAGGCATTCTACGTGCTTCTGGGAAGAGCCGGTAGAGTCCCTGTTAGAGGCATCTTCACCTATTTTGAAGGATCTACACTTTTATTCCTCTCCCACTCCCACTTCCTGGGATTACCTCCCAAATAAACTGTTTGCATCCAAGTCTTTGTTGCAGGCTCTGCTTCTGGGGAAACATGAACAAGAGTAAGTCTTGACCTTTATTTGATTCTCCTGAGTGAACATAAATTGCCAAGGTATATTTTTGACAGATAATTTGCAAATGATAAAGGTGGCCGACTTCAGACTTCCTGTGGTCCTGAAGGTTAGGGTTATTTAACCCATAGAAAAAGATGGTTGTTATAATTCTCTTGCCCAGTAAAGATTATTATGTCTGTATTGCCCTGTAGAAAGTTTATTAACTCGACCAGCCATGGTGGCTCATGCCTGTAATCCCAGCACTTTGGGAGGCTGAGGAGGGAAGATCGCCTGAGGTCAGGAGTTGGAGAACAGCCTGGCCAACATGGTGAAACCCTGTCTCTACTAAAAATTAGCCGGGTATGGTGCCTGGTGCCTATAATCCCAGCTGCTCCCAAGGCTGAGGCAGGGAGAGTCGCTCCCTGGAGGTTGGGGTTGCAGTGAGCTGAGATGGTGTCATTGCCATTCAGCCTAGGCGACAGCGTGAGAATCCATCTCCAAAAAAAAAAAAAAAAAAGAAAAAAGAAAGAAAGAAAAGAAAAGGAAAAAGAAAGTTTATTCACTCTGCATTTATTTAAGTTTCTTCCACAGCTACCATTGACTGCTCTTTGTTTTTCGGTTATTTACCTTATTAATGAGGTAAATAAAAGTTTGACATATCCTCTCTCTCGTTTCTTTGAGACTTAAGTTTTTTAACACCAAGCAATGAAAATTTCGACCTAGGTAAAAGTGATTGAGAGACACTGATGACTGTAAGATTTATTTCAACTTCATCTGTAGTACAGTGAAACTTATCCTTGAGTTGTTAGAGTACCTAACAATTTTTTTTTCTGAGATAGAGTCTCGCACTGTTGCCCAGGCTGGAGGGCAGTGGTGCGATCTTGGCTCACTGCCACCTCTGCCTCCCAGGTTCACGTAATTGTCCTGCCTCAACCTCCAGAATAGCTGGGATTACAGACGCACACCACCATACCTGGCTATTTTTTTTTTGTATTTTTAGTAAAGACGGGGTTTTACTATGTTGGCCAGACTGGTCTCGAACTCCTGACCTTATGATCTACCCGCCTGTGCCTCCCAAAGTCCTGGGATTACATGTGTGAGCCACCGCACTGGCCTACCAAACAATTTTTAACATAAATAGGATTGTCTCCAAAATGCAAATAATAGGACTACTTTCTTCAAAACTGCAGAAGTTGCTCTCACCCCCTCCCTCAAAGAACACACAGTCCAAATGCAGCAAGCAGTTCAGGGGCCATTGTAGTATCTTGTGAGACCCTGAGGAAGTCCGTAAGTCCTTAGAGCCCTGGCATGGCACAGATGAGCATATGGAACCCTCATTCCTTGCTCCTCACACCCACCCTATATTGAAGGACTTAGAAATAGCAGGGATGATCAATTGGTAATAAGGAACATTGAGTTTGGGAGAAGAGCATATGACAAATGAAGATCATTTAAGGACACTTGGACAACAGTTATGCCAAAAGCCCCCTGCTTCCTGACCACCCACACTTTCTACACATGGGGACAGCCTCTGAAATTCAGATATCACCTTGTGCAAAGGGAAAGAAGGAAATCCAGACTACATGTGAAATAATAAAAAAAGCCAGGTATGATCGACTTCATCTGGAACTGAGATGATACTTTTTCCCACTAGGCAGAATAGCAGCCCGAAAAAACACTAAGTTTATTTGTTGAGAACTCAAGTGACATGTCTGCACCCACCAATAATGAAATATGTGTGCAAACACCATAACACCACCCACTGTGTGGCCCTCGAATTCAAGAGCAACAAAACAAACAAAAACACCAAAAATTTATTCCACAGTTAGGAATTTCACAGTGAATTTTACTCACCGGAAATGAAACCAACCTCATCCTTGTACCACACTTATTCTTTGACTTACATGCAAATATTTAGAAACAAACTAGGTGTGAAAAGTGGGGATTGCATGTGTGATGAATTTCAGTCCATAAGTATAACAATAATCTTGTATTGTTTATGGAGTTTACAGAGTCCATATCATATGCATTAACGCACTAAATCATGACAACAGCTCCGTGAGGTAGGTATTACTGAATTTACAGGTGAAGTACCTGAGACTTGGAGGTTAAGTAATATGTCCAAGGAAACACAGCTGTGACAAAATCAGGTCCTCTGATACACAGAATCAGTATGTATTATCACATAGTATAAATAAAGAGAGACTAACTTATTTATAGTCAACCCACCAAGGGAAAGAGAGAAATTAGGTCATTACGTATGTCCCTCTAAGTTTGCCTTGAAGTAGCTTTTGGAAACTGATTTCTTGACCTGTGGACCTGGTCATTTTTAAGTAGATGCTGGTGATTACTTCACTTTTATAGAATTAAATTTCAAATTACACCCCCTTTGTTCAATGTTTTGCCTCATATTTTCAAATTTTCATAAACACAAAATTTAGGTAGAAGAGCAATATGAAAGGGGAAAAATCTTCTTTAGATTCTATTGCTCTTGGAATTCCAAGACATGGTGCCCATATTGTTCATCTAAAGCTAAATACCTGAATACATTAACTTTAATAATGTGCAAAAAGTTATATGATAGGTATTGTTAATTTTTGACTGTGAATTTGTAACAAGAAAGCATATAGTTACTGATAAGCATTTCGGATTTATATAATTTTCTTGGTGACAGAACATAGGTGGCTCAAACTTTACAAGTCACATTTATCTATCTGAATCCCAATTATTTTAGAAATAGATTAGCTGAAATTCGGATACACATACACAAACAAAAATAATATACCCTTAATATTAAAGACTTAGTCTCTGATCCAATTATTAACTTCTAGGTCTTGACTGATCTTACATTTTTAATTTCAGAGGAGTTAGGTAAAATTTTTGCTTACAGTAAAGCCTGGTTATTCATAAAACTAATTGAGAATTTTCACTCATCTGATAATACAGGGGTGAAATGTTAAGACAGAACGATTTTGTGATTAAATGGAATAAATTTGATCAGCACACAATGAAAAAAGAAATCAACACAAGAAAGAAAGATGTATTTGAGAACATTTTTAATAAATAATGTGACAAAATTACTTTTCTGATTATTGGATTTTCAGTATGCAAAATTATGGCTAAAAATAAGAGGCTTCTTACATGAACATAATGAAAACATTAATCACATGGATTGTTCCCTTAGGACTGCACACCCTTTCTATGGAACTTTTTCAAATTATCTAAATGAACATGTTTAGTTTTTGGTGAACACCAGCCTGTTTTTTGTGATTCAGTTTTGTTTGGCTTTGTTTTCCAGTGGGGTCAGACCTGATACCTATCTACGAGTAAATGTACTTTTCTTTTTCCTTCAAATAGCACCAATTATAAAATCAATGATATTCATAAAATGACAAAAAACTGTCATAGAAATCTACTAGTCAGAGGGCATCATTTGGCAATTGAAAGCAAGTAATGCCTCTATTGCAGATTTTAAGGAAATCCTGTAAGTTTCAATATTGGCCACAACAAACCTAAACCTCTTTTTTTCTTTAAGTCCAGGAAAAGTAAGAACCATTTGGTTCATGGCCCACAATAAAGTATGCACGTCACTTCACCATCTGTCATCATTCAAATATTCCAAATACAAACATAGAGCATTAACAAAACAGGTTAAAAACGCTTCTCAACAATTTTTTTTTCAATAAGACAAAAAAGGTTAATAGTTACAATGGTTTACAAATAAAGTTTAGTGATTGTGCTTTTAAAACCAAAAAAAAAAAAAAAAAGGAGAGAGAGAGAGAGAGAGAGAAAGATTAAAAACAGTGCATTACAAAAACAAAAATCAAACTTCCTTAAGTGGCACTTCTGAAAGTTGAACTGACACTACCGGAAGAAATTTAGGCCAGTTAAGACAAGGATGTTCTTACTCAATTGGTCATTAGAAACATCCACTTGTTCGTAATACGCATTTATAGTTGCTTTTTGATTGAAAAATAGAACAAGGTTTTGCTAGGTTTACTTATGACAATGACTAGACAACCAGAGATCCAACTGGCTTAGCCCTACTTATCCAAAAGTACATTTCCAGTAAGAATATACTTCAATGATTGAAATGAAGACAAAATAAAATATCACCAGGGTTTGCAAAGAGTATATATTTACAATGTTTCTACCCCATTCAAATTACTTGTGGTTCTGCATTTGCTATAATTTTAGTTTTTTCCAGCAAAGGGTAGTATGAAAAACTGATTTTAAAATCATGTTAAAAGGAAATATGTTTTAATTTTCATTAGCAGTTGGCTATGGAAAGATTACATTTTGAGAGCCCTTGGCATGAGGTTGAGTATCAACTTTGTATCTTTGATCAATATCTTGCCATAAATTAGCTTGGCATATCAGCAGTGCAATGCCATATCTCAGGGGCAAAATGCAAAAGAAGAGTTTTGTTCTCTCCTGCTGGCTGATGATGGAAGCAGGAAGTCAAAGCACTTCCATTGCTGGAAGTAAGGTGTAACGGTTTGCTCCAACAGCGAAGGGAATAGGAAAGCTCTTTGTAGGGTTAGAGATCAAACAACAACAATAAAAACCCAATAAAGTTTTTTAAATGATACCCCAATAAGAGGAATAAAACCGACAATTTGTACACTCTGATTGCACTGAACATTTTATCTGGCGTCATGTGTCATCAGACAGGAGGCATCTTGAGTGATAATTGTCACATTCGATCTCATAAGCCTCTTGGTTGTCTTCAGCTTTCAGTTTCCTGTAAGAGACATGCTATTGTCACATTTGAAAATAAATCTTAAGAGGATTGTCTTATATTTGTTTATATGTATTTATTACTATTATAATTTAATATGTTTTCTCATTTATTCACTGGCCAATGTTGGAAAGTGCTCATGTCAACTAATTCACTCATCAACTTTAGTTGGTCTTCACAGAAAATTCAATAAATACCAAACTGGGTTCTGCATAGTGCCTCAGTGTTGTGTGGTGGGACACAGGGCTCTGAGAAGAGAGGAAGAGTGTGTTGAGTTCTCTACCTCCCTCAGCCCTGAGCTGTACTTCCCTCAGTACCGCTCAACACTACAGCTCTGCTTTTGTTGGTTTTAAATACTGGAGTTAACAGTAGTGACATTTTGTTCTCCCAAAAGGCTTTTTCTATTTTAAAATAAAACTAAAACATGAAAAAGAACTTCTCTAACTGTTTGCAGGGTGAAAGTCTTTCTCGTTCCAAACCTCAAAATCAAAATACATTGAGCTTTATAGAACTTTTAATTAGACATAATGGCTTACAAATTTTCAGCTTCTATTATAAAAAGTTAACACTTGACACATAATTACTAAATATATTTTTAAAGATTAAATATATTAATATGATTAAATATATGTATTAAAAATTGTCCTCAACTCATCTTTTATTAAATTGAAAAAATCCAATCTTTGAATAGGGGAGAATTTATAAATATGATATGGCTTACTGCCAACTCGATTTTGCATAGCTATCTGTCAAGCCTAACAAGAAATTTAAGACTTAAGAAATTTACTCCAACTGGGAAGGTCAGTGTTACAGACTAGGCATACACTTTTAGAAGTGTAAAGGTGAAGGACAGCCAAACCAGTCACATTACCCTACTGATGACTACAGCAACATACTCACTCACATCATATAACTCTGCCATCTTATTGAGTTTCTATAGCCTGCTACAATGCTATGAATTATAATATCTCTAGATCAATAGCTCTTATTTCTTAACAATGTATTTGCCATATATATATCTTATCTGAAAATCTGCAAATGAACATAAACCCTAGATAAACAAATAAAATGCAATTAACATTTAAAACTTTGGAACACATTTCAAGAAAATTGTCAAATTCTCAGAACTTCAGTTTCTGCTTCATAGACATTAGAGTACTGAAAAGTTTGTGATAAAATAGTAACATTCCTATACACTGCTGAAGGTTTCTAACTTTGAGGCTAATAAAACACCTACAGTCTAACATTAGTAAACTTGGGAAAAAAATTACAGATACCTCTAATTCTTCATTATTATCTTCTCCTCTTTCATATCCTCCAAGTACCTGCATTTCTGCAATATTTCTTCGACCTACATTTGCTTGTTCTCTTTGTCGGCTTCCTGATCCTCTTGATGACATTGAGCTTGAAGAACTGGGATCTCTGGGATTATTTGATGTTGGAAAAGTAGGTCTACAATAAGGTAGAATATCCTCTGTGTAATGAAATATAATAAATGCAGGTGAACACCATCATACTCTTTTACTGTATATTGTATCACTCCTGTCTATCTGTAATTCTGAATAAGGAAGCATCAGTAATTTGAGGTATAAATGAGGACACTCTATAAGCATAATGAATAATGCAGCATAGTGTCTAGAAAATGAAAATAATAAGTCTTGTTCTTTTCCTGTTAGTAGTCAGGGATTTGGATTGATTCTCTACCCATAAGCTCTTGTCCATCTCAAACTCACTTGAGATCAGTATCATTAAAAGAGGTAAACCAAACCTGGAGTCAGACTTGGCTTTCTATAATTCACTATATGATCTCAGATTATTTTAGGCTTTAGTTTCTACTTTTCAAAAAAAAAAGTGATAATATCTATACCTAGAGAGTTTCCTAGTGTTTATGTGGAAACAGATATCTATGTAATTTATAAAATGTTATTATAAGGAATTGATAAAAATCAAGCCCAGTCTCCTAGAAATACCAAACAGAGCCAAGCCTAGGTTCACGCCAGAGACATCAAAATATCAACCTCCATGTCAATGTCCTATTTACATTGCTGAACTCTGAATCTTAGAAGCCTGCCATTGTTGCTAACTTCAATAAGCAAGCCATCGCAATTAATTTCTTTCTCCTGATATTTCTACGACCTTACTACTTGAAATGTGGTGCGACTTCTACTGATGCATCATCCAGCTGGTTACTTCTCTCTGAAGTCTTACGACTCTGCCTTTTGGACGACAAATACATAAATACCTAACTCTTTGACATACTTTTCCCTACCCCCTCCAAATGCTGCTTCTACTATTCACATTGCCTGAATGAAGCCTGACTTCCCCTGAAGTTACCCTGATGTTCTCTGTAGTGGAAGGGTAAGGAGGAAGGCTTACCTCTAGCTCACTATCACCAGTTCTAAATCACTGCTCCTCTATCCTTGCACAAAAACATCTCCGCCTCTGAGGCCAGGTCATCGTCTTTTGAAACTGGTATAGTCCTTGATAGCATCTTGTTCTTTCCATTCTACTTATCACAACTTTCACCCCTAACCAACAGTTCTGATTCATAGGAGTTTCACAGTCCATGAGGATGACTGCTTCTGTAGCTTCTCTTCACAGCACTTGATATTGCGTGACCCTCATCTTCTGTCTCTGTTTCATCAACTGCTTTGTCTCTACTGACTTTAGTTTTTTCAAACTGCAGTATGATAAAATCTCTCTCTTGCTAAAAATTTTACCCTCAAGACTGTGCTCTTCAAGAAATCAACACCTTCTTTCTCTCCTCACCACTCAGCCAAGCTTCTTGAAAAGCAATCTGGATTCAATATTGATAGTCACAATTCCCATTCACGCTGCATCTCACTGCAATCTATTTATACCCACATCACTACTATGAAACTGAGAAAATTCATAATGCTAACCGTGTTTCCAGCCTTATGTGCCTGGACTTCTTACTGCTCTTAATCAATGCAAACATTATTATTCTCTCTGCTGCTAGTTGTCCTTCCTCCCTGGCCAATCTTCTGTGAGCTCTTTCTATGAACTACCTCCGATATGTTGAGGCTCTACAGGTTTCTATTTTCAGTCTAATGTATATCACTCATATGTATATGTATGATACATACGAAAGTTCTATTATACGTATATACATAGATGTGTGTGTGTGTGTGTGTGTGTGTGTGTGTGTGTGTGTGTATGATATAGTCTGGATATCTCATATTGAACTGTAATCCCCAATGTTGGAGGTGGAGCCAGGTGGAAGGTGTTTGGATCACGGGAGCAGATCTCTCACGGATCACTTGGGCCATCCCCTTGAGCATATGTGAGCTCTTGCTCTGAGTTCACACAATATCTTATGGTTTAAAAGTATGTGGCACCTCAGCCCCACTCTTTCTCTCACTCCTGCTTTCACCATGTCACGTGTCTACTCCCCGTTCACCTTCCACAATGATTGTAAGCTTCCTGAGGTCTCCGCAGAAGCTGAGCAGAGGTCAACACCATGTTTCCTATAAAGGCTGCAGAACACTTAGCCAATTAAATCTCTCTCCCTCTTTTTAAATAAATTACCCAGTCTCAATTATAGAAATTCAAAAATGGCTTAATGCTATAAACATTTTTTTATTCTACTACCCTCAGGTTATTTTACTCAGTTTCACAGATTCATTTTCTAAAATATAACTGTCATAAAGGCAGGTATTTTTGTCTGCTTTGTGTGCTGATATACTTTCACCTTGACCTATAAAAGGTCATTAATACATTATTTTTCATTATTTTCATCATGCTGAATCATTAATTTATATTTTTAATTCCTAAACTATGCCCCAAACCTTCAGCTCCTATAGGCAGCCCAACTGAACACCTGGTCTTGCACATTCTTCAAATCCAACCTGCTGAACACTCATCTCACAATGCTCACTCTCTTAGATGTCTTCCTTTGCTATCTTCTCTAAGACAGTGAATGACATCACTAATCATTAAGATATACAAGACAGAAAATTGAAATGATTACAGATTCTTCCCTTTCAACAACCTTTCCATAACCCTTAAGTGTATCCTTTCCACACAATCCAACATATAACAAGGAAGGTCAATTTTGACTCTAAAAACTTTCTTGAATTTTCCCAGTTGTCCACCCTTGCTCCTATAGCATGGTTTATGTTTTCTACATTTCTTTTCTGGGGGTTGCACACATCTTCAAACATCCTTGAGCTATTCCCCTCTAAACTGTCTCTACTCAGCTACTTTTCCCTTATAAAATTTCTAGGCTCTTTATGACTTAAGCCTCAAGAGCTTCATCTTTGACCACTTTTATTGCGTGGTGGTACTGAATTTCTTACAGTTTTCTCAATAGACCTTCAAGCTTTTTATGCTGAATTATCCACCTAAATAAATCCTCTTTTCTTCTGCAAGCTAAATTCCACTCATCCTGAAACACTCAGTTTATATGTCATTTCTGCCAAGAAAGATATTTCCTAACTCCTAACATTTTATCTCTCACATTCCTGGATTAATTCTCTATCTTCTGGACTCTCAAGTATCACGGCACTATGAATGTTATACTCAATACAAAAATATCTGTGAATTTACAGATTATCTGTCCCTCTCTCTCTGACTACAAGCCCCTTGAGGTCAAGGTTCATGCTTACATATAAATCTCAGTATTTAGTACAATGCTTAATAACACAGTTGTTGTTTGATATATGTAGAAATAAATTGAACTAATGGAGGCAAATGTCAGCAAAATGATCAGACATTCAAGTCCAAAAGACCACTCTCCTTAATTAAAAATAATCTTTCATTATACATATAAATCAGGTTGCCTCTTTCACTATAAACAATGTAAACTGAATTATGAAGGTGAAAATTATAGCAATGCATAAAAATGATCATTTAATGGCATATATATATATATATATATATATATATATATATATACAGGGTTATGATTCAAATAAGAATTTGGAAAAGCAGAGCATATAAAAGAATAACTGGTTAGTGCACCTCAGTGATTTCCATGATTCCATGGGTTACTTGTTTCTAGACTAATGGTCTAGTCTTAGTTCTTTTGTTAGAAAATATTTTTATAGCATAAAGGACAACTTACTAAATTTCTGAAGATTGATTTTTATAAAATTGATCTCTTTGTTTTAAATCTACATACAACAATATCTTTCCAGGTTTGTAAAAATTTTCCCCTGAAGAAGAATCCTACCTACTTTTCTTTTCATTCATTTATTCATTCCAAGATGCAGTCTTGCTCTGTCATCCAGAGCTGGAGTGCAATGGCATGATCTCAGCCTACTGCAACCTCTGCCTCCCAGGTTCAAGCAACTCTCCTGCCTCAGCCTCCTGAGTAGCTGGGATTACAGGTGCACACCACCATGCCCAGCTAATTTTTTTTTATTTTTAGTAGAGATGGGGTTTCACTGTGTTGGCCAGGCTGGTCTCCAACTCCTGATTTAGTGATCTGCCAGCCTCAGCCTCTCAAAGTACTGGGATTACAGGTGTGAGCCATCACACCCAGCCAACTTTTAATGAAGCCTACCTATAGCCAGGAATTGCTCCATACTCTCTGGCCAGAAATAAACTTCATAATTTACATCCTCAAATTCTATTTATGAATCACTATTTGGAGTCCAGTTACACTGAGTCAAAAGTTCAGAGCCAGATCAACTTTGGGTTAACTTAGAAAAATAAGTTAGTAAGTTTTTCAAGCTTTGGATCGTGCTGATATTACCAAGGACTTTGTGGTCCCACAATAGAGGCACCAGTCTGAAATGCACAGCTTTATTTATCACCTCGCTTCTGAGTCTATGCCTGGATTAGGAGTTCAGGCTGCAGTCACAGAACAAAGAGAAATTGCCCTCCATGTTGAAAAGAAGTTAGCTAATGACCAGATGTCCATAATAAATAAACAATACACTGATATCAGACCTTACCACAATATATCTATTAAAATGCAGTAGTTCAGTGTCCTGCAGGTTTTTAAGTTTCATTCCCCTATCACTCTTTCCTGATTCCTCAACTAATAATATTCTTTTTCTGTGTTTCTGTCTCCTAAATGGTTTCTTCTCTCTAGTCTACAATAATGTTCAAATCTACAATCCTAAAACATTTCCAGTGATTTGGCCTGTCAGACTCTAGCCCAATCTTTCCTCCTCATCCCGAACTTCCAGAAACAGCTTACTTGTGCTCATCACCTCCCTTTCAAAATTTCCATTCACTTTCTAACCCCTTAGAGTCTGGCTTTTATTCTGATCTACAAACAACGTATTGCAAGATCTCTTTTTCCTTCACTTGGGTTTACAGTCAACTTTCACCACTGGGGCATTTTATATGCCTTCCTGTCTGAAAATTTCCCACTCCATTCTTCATAGGATACTATTTTCAACAGCTTGGGTATTGATTATTAAATCTCTGGTCGGACAATCTGCTTCCTTGAAAGGATGTTGATTTCTACCTATTTTCTAAGTATATTTCATCCTTGACTATTGCTGTTTTGGAGCAGGCTCAATATTTCACAATAGCTGATTATATTCATCTCTTCCCACCTCCACTTTCAGTGACTTAAAATTGGCAACTTTGAGAGCATTCATACAACAGAGGTAAGCAAATGGCTATAAATTAGGGTTTGGTTGTGTTTTCTTCCTGGACAGCTGATCGGTAAATAGTTACCAGCATTATCTCTGCTGATATTCAGCCTTTGTTATTCACAAAATTATTGTGTCTATGTTGTGGGTTCTAAATCCACTCTGTCCTCACAACTTTTCTCCTGATCTTTAAACCTAGTTCTCTAAATTCTTTTTTTTTCTTTTTTTTTTTTAACGGAGTTTCGCTCTTGTTACCCAGACTAGAGTGCAATGGCGCGATCTCAGCTCACTGCAACCTCCGCCTCCTGGGTTCAGGAAATTCTCCTGCCTCAGCCTCCTGAGTAACTGGGATTACAGGCACGCGCCACCATGCCCAGCTAATTTTTTTTTTATTTTTAGTAGAGACAGGGTTTCACCATGTTGACCAGGATGGTCTTGATCTCTTGACCTCGTGATCCACCCACCTCGGCCTCCCAAAGTGCTGAGATTACAGGCTTGAGCCACCGCGCCCGGCTCTAAATTCTTATTATAAATTTTACTAACTTGTTCTTGTCAGGATTTTAATCCATTCAAAACTGCAATAATATTCCCCATGAAATTTAACATTTTCCCTGTTCTACATTTTATTTTATTTTTACAATGGTTAATACAATCATGTTCCACTGGTCATTCAGAGCCACCTGGTCAACCTGTGAATAAGCTTTTTTGTTTACTCTATTATTTCAACTTACCTTTCAACATTCAATTAGCCACCAAGTTCTATTGGGCCTCTCTCTGAAGTGCCTGCATAGGCTGATCCCGCCTGTTCTTTTGGACTATTTTAACTCAGTGCTTTCGTGTTTTATACTTAGAGTGTTACTGTAACGTTTCAGATATCTTAATCTACTGATTCCAGTCTCTTCCTCCATTATATAGCGGTGCCAGTTGTTTTTCTAAAACACATATCTCATTATGTCATTTCTCACTCCAAATTCCTTGTTGGCTCACAGCTGCCCTTGTCATAAATCTCAAAGCCTTCAGAGTAGTATCCCTGGCCTTCGTAACTTTGCCTAACCATCTATCTAGTTTTATTTTTCACGCAGGCTAGAGGCTCGTCGTGCGATCTCAGCCGACTACAGTCTCAACCTACAGGGTGCGAGCTGTCCTCCCACAGCCTCCCGAGTAGCTAGGACTACAGCATGTGCCACCACGCCCAGCTAATTTTTGTATTTTTATGTATAGATGGTCCCTGGCCCCAAACATTCAATTCTCCAGCCAAACTGGAAACCGTTGTTCATCAAACACTCATTTTCACACAATCAGGTTATTTTCTCAACGTGTTCCATTTCCCCGATATCCCTTCTCCTTCTTTAACCTGTTGAAATCCTGCTTTCCTTTAAAATCTAACTCAGTTGGCACCTCTCCAGGAAGGACTTGTATAAAGTCAGGCACTAGAGTGAACTGTATTAAAATTATTCGAGTACATACCTATCTCCTCAATCAGAGAGCAAATTTCTTAATATTACCCCTTTTAATGTGGCCATATAGAGCCTAACTGTATGCCTTGCAAACACACTCAATCTATATTTATTTCCTGCTTGACTGAATGAGTACCTTGGATGAGATGAGTCTTTGCTGGTGGAAGGTCTCGTTTTACTGCCTTGTTTCCACGTCCTTTCCCGTCATTTTGTTGTTCCTGTGCTTCTCTGGGGTCACCTGGATTTGTTCGCATGTCAACAACTTGTCTTCCATCCAATACTTCTCTCCCCTTGTAATTGCTTCCTTTTCTATCTGATGATCTGTCTGTTCTTGCATCTATAGAAGGGAGTTTTGGCACTACTACCGGTCGTACTTCCAGCTGTGTCTTGGATGGGACAGTGGGTGACTTTATAGCAGGTGGCGGCACAGGAGGAGGTGGAAGATCTAAAAAGAAACGTTAAAAATACTGCTGTAAAAGTCTACTACTTATAAAGTCATCAAACATTTGTATTATCATTAGAGTCACATTCACCTGTGAGATACTGTATCTTAAATGAACTAGAATATTTGAAGGTAACCAAGGAAAAACACCCACTTTTTATTTACTTATTTATTTTGAGCAGGTTCTTACTGTGTCATTCAGACTACAGTGCAGTTGTGCAGCGCCAGCTCACTGCAGCCTCGACTTCCTTGGTGCAGGCAATCCTCCCACCTCAGCCTCCTGAGTAGCCAGGACTCCAGGCATGCATCACCACACCAGGCTAATTTTTCTATTTTTTCTAGAGATGGGGTTTTGCCATGTTGCCCTGACTGGTCTCAAACTCTTGGACTCAAGTGATCTGCCCACCTTGGCCTCCTAAGGTTCTGGAATTACAGGCATGAGCCACTGTACCCGGCCAAGACCAACAATTTTAATGTACTCTTGTTATCTAGTGCAGAACTATTGGATAACAGAGTTCGGACTTAGTGACGTTTCTGCTCCTGGGATAGCTAACACTGGGTGTATGTACTGTAACTTTCTCTCTCCCAAGTATTGTAGAGCTTCCTAACTGATTTCAGTATAACACTGCTAGTGCCAGATGCATGCCTTTGCTCCTCCAGACAGCCAATTCAAATTGATTGAGGTTGGCACTTGAGTTGAGACCTATTTGCTATCTCTAATATAGCCTAAATCTCTTCTCATTTTGTAGGCAAGGAAGCTCAAACATGTAGACCTTAAGCTACTGTGCTATCCCAAAGCTAGACAGGATCAGAACCAGGACTAACCAATGATTCAGTTGTCTTTATATTACTACATTCAATTGAATGTTTATAATCAATGAGACTCACTGATGGAAGCTCACCATTCTGTTTATGTACCCAGAGGTTTTAAACCATATCACATTGGTGTAAATATAGGTTAATTTCATCTACATACATACATACATCCACATCTACATACCTAAAACTATTTCTAGTTGTAGTTACATATTAAGTAATGCATATTAAATGTAACTTATATAATTTAGTTTCTTACCTTTTTTTTTTTTTTTTTTTTTTTTTTAGACAGAGTCTCGCTTTGTTGCCTAGGCTGGAATGCAGGGGTGTGATATCAACCACTGCAGCCTGTCTCTCAGGGTCAAGAGATCCTCCCACCTCACCCTCCTGAGTAACTGGGACTACAGGCACACACCACCGCATCTGATTAATTTTTGCATTTTCTGTAGAGACAAGGTTTCACCACGTTGCCCAGGCTGGTCTCGAACTCCTGTGCTTAGGCCATCCACCCACTTGCATCTCCTAAAGTGCTGGGATTAGAGCCATGAGCCACCACACCCAGTCTGTAATTCAATTTCATGTATCATAGATACACTTAAGGATGAAAGTAGGCATAAAATTTGGTATCTAGAAAAAAATTTTTTAATTAGTGCTATCTTTAAAAATCATTCCTATGTATACTCTGGGGAGAAAAGACATATGTATTCTAATAATATTTTGTAAGTTAGTAGAAGAATATGAATAGAGACTAAGTTTTGGTTATTCTGGCTCTAGTATAGGGAATGTATTAAAAAGAAAAGCTTCAATTCAGGAGGTCAAGAGATTATTATAATAACTCACATAATTAATGATAGGTGATTGGTGGCTGCTCAGATGGAGACGAAAAGATGTGTTTGAGATTAAGGGAGAAAATCAATATTACTTCAGGATCAACAAAATACAGTACAGGATTGGGGAGAGGAAAGAATCCAAGATGACTAAGAGTCATCTTAGTAGGATGTATCTAAGAGTCATCTTACTAAAATTTCATCTACATACATACATACACACACACAAATACACACACATAAAATTATTTCTAGTTGTAGTTACATATTAATATGTTATATTATATATAATATAATTTATATAATTTGTTTTTTCTTAGCTATATCTTAGATACTAAGATGTTTTTCTTAGATACATCTTAGATACTAAGAAAATCTCAGATAACTAAGATGATTTTTAGGATTTTTGTCATAGTTGGCTAGGTGAAAGAGAAGAACATCACTGAAGGTATAGAATGCATCAAAAAGAAAGAGATATTTGTGAAAGAAGAATATGAGTTCAGTTTTTTTAAAGTGAATAGGAGGAGCCTTTGGAGTATCAAAATAGAAAGGAACAACAGGTACTTGTAAATAAAATCTGAATTTCAAGAGAGATCAAAACTAGAGATCCAGAGATTTTGGAATTAGCAGCATAGCTATGTTTTTAAGTTATGTCTTTAGAAATGTTAATGTTTTCAAATTTGCAGAGTAATGTCTAGAATAAATGAACTAAAACACATTCATAAAACATCTATTACACACTTAGTATTATAAAATTAGTCTGAAGATGTTAAAGTAAAAAAAAATAGAAATTTACATGGTAAAAAATTCTGTAAGCGTTTAAACGTAAAAGAACAGCCTCTTGCACCTCCCCACCTCCATTTCAAATCCCCAGTATTGACTATGCAGAGGTAACTGGCTTGAATAGTTTTCTATAGGTCATTCCTGAAGTTATTTATAAAGCAGGGCTGCCAAGTCTCATAACTGCAGGGAGCACCGTTCACATCAAGGGCTATAGGAAATGGTCACGCCTGGGATGGTGCAGAGTGCCTGTCTGCCTGTTCACATGTGGTGACCCGATCAAAAGGGCCACACACAAAGAGATAGCCTTCCTTCTTTACCAACATGAATGGGATTGCACTTTTTTCACCTAACCAGGTAGTTGTATAAACTTCCATATGTGTACATATGGCTTTACTTTTTTTGGAAATGTTTGCCTAATGTTCTATTCTATGATTACATCATTATTTTTTAGCCAATCTCTACAGAGAAATATTTAGGCTGTTTCCAGATATTTTATTATTATTGACATTGGGCCATTGACTATCATTTATGTGTACCAGCATGAGAAACTGTTAAATATTAAAATTGTGTTTTGAAGATTCTTATTATAATAGCAAATTAATGGCCTGAAGAAGCATCAGTTTTAACCTAGTATTTCTCATACTTACATGTTTTTAAGAATGAATGAAACTTTTTTATTCCCTAAATAGGTATAAATTTTTTTGAAACTTATTTTCTTTTGACATTATATGCTAAAGCTAAGGTGTCAGAATTCATTGTATTAGTTTTGAAAACAGAAAGTCTGAGTTGCCGTCTTAGTACCTACCAGCTGTTTTACCTAGGAATGATTATAAAAAGTGATCAAATTTTTCCTTGTGTTTTTTCGTTAGTGGTTTTCATGGTTTACCACGTTCCAGTATTACATAAATAGCTTCAACATTTTAGCCAAAATGGTAGCCAATTATAGCAATAGCACTTGTTTTCCCTCTGATTTTACAAAATCAAGTTTTTGTCTTGCAACAGAGATTGAAATTGTCAGTAGTGTGTGTTTTTCCTCCTTTGTCTACTACTTTAATAGATTTTTCAAGAATAATACATAAAAGTACTATGATCTGCCCTCCCTCATATCCTACTTATTGTTAAAGATAACCAAAAACAGAGAGTTAAAAAACAGACTGTGCCAAGTAGGCTAAAGCCAAGAGGCCCAAGGCAGAATGATTTTAAGTTCAGACTGAGCCTGGGATTAGCAATAAAGGGAGAAAAGTCTAATTCAGAACATACCAGGAAGCAGAGAGACTGAGTGACTGCAGGCTCATTTCTGCACTGTCTGCTTGCTTTAAACGTAAATTAGATTGCAAACACGGATTATCAGGAAGCCGATGGCTGCCACTATCATCAAATCATAAAATGTCTGGGCCTCTAAGATACCAAAGCTGATGACTACCACTATCATAAGCTCATACAAAGTCTTGGTAATATATGACTCATGAGACAAAAATCTATGACTAGATGTTCTAGATAGGTGTTATTTATAACAGAAGTTAAAAAGGGAAGGGAACCTGATGGTAATTTAAAGAATTCTAACTTCCTATATATATTTTTCATTGTATCTAATTGACAATTAGAGGGTAATGATGACAGGTTTGATTTCCTATATAAACAGATTACCAAATAAATTCTTTCTTAGGTATTATAAAACATCACCAAGTAGGGATATTATAAAATATCTCTGCTTACGAGACCAAGGATTATTACAGTATAAACAATTCTGTATTTCACATAGTGATAAATAGTTCTTTCACCCAATTTGTACCATGAATAGTACAAATTGGATTTAACAAATGGGATTGTAGACTTGATTTTGTGTGTGTGTGTGTGTGTGTGTGTGTGTGTGTGTGTAGACTTTATGTAATCATATAAACACTCATTCTTTATACAAGACTTTCCAAATAACAGCATAATGCATGTAAAGTAACATATAAAAATATATTCATTCAGATAATTCTGCCAACATTAACTTGCTATAGACATCTAGCACTCTATTTACTTAACTGCTTTAAGTTCTAAGACCTTGTAATTAATGATAAATCAAGTCAAAATAACATCATTTTAAAGTGGGTGGTGAATTTATAATTTATTAAAAGTAGGGCTGGAGAAATAATGTAGATTTGGTTTTTAAATCAACTATGTAAATGCATTTGAAAGGTTGGAGAGCGAGAGTGGAAAGAATCTATTAGAAGGTCCTAGAAACACACTTATGCCTGGCTTTTACTCCATAAGACTCTGGCTAATAAATATTCATATATCCTAATCCTACCCTTTATCTGGGTTAAACTTGTAAAAGGCAAATATGAAATAAATAAATAATTAGCTTCCGCTTTTTAGTATGACTGTAACATGAGTATTCTCCTTTGCATCGAGTTCTCCTTGAGTGCTTACGAGACCTTGGACTTGACCACAGAGCAAGGTTTGGCCACAGTGCCAGGTGTTAGGGGCTGGTCCACTGTTATGGGCTGAATTGTACCCCTCAAAATTCAAATGTTGAAGTTCTAATCCCCAGTACCTCAAAATGTGATGGTATTTGGAGTTTTTAAAGAGGTAATGAAGTAAAAATGAAGTCACTAGGGTAGGTCCTAATCCATTATAATTGGTGTCATTACAAGAGGAGATTAGGACACACACATACACTAGGGAAAGATCAGGGGAAGACACAGGGAGAAGATGGCCATTTCCCAGCCACAGAGAGAGGCCTCAAAAGAAACCAATCCTGCTCACACCTTGATCTTGAACTTCTAGCTTCCAGAACTGTGAAGAAATAAATTTCTGTTGTTTAAGCTACCTAGTCTGCAGTACATAGTTATGGCCCTAGCAAACTAATAAAAGGATTAACTGAGAAGGAGCATCACAAATTACTCTTTATCAGTTCAGACATAGCCACTCTTTAACCTTCTTTGCATAGTTTTTAAAGATTCTACAAAGGAACGTCACCATATGAAAAAAATTTACAAAGTAAAGTTGGTACTAACTGAATACTGATAAACCATATTCTGAACATGGTTCACATAAATCTATTGACAATAATCAAACTTATCCACCATAGTCCATACATTTTACCCACTAAAAAGAAAAAAAATACACAAAATCCTCCATGTCTTCCTAATATGTTCAATTCACATTTTAACAATGGGTAGTTCTTTAAATTCTTTCTTCCTCTCCGTTTTCTTTTTTAATAAATTGTACTGATTGCGTCTGCCATTGAGCTGCTTCATGAATTGGTCTATGAATTTTTTTTTTTCCAGAAGTGCAGCATACTAATTTGGGAAAATAATTTCTGAAAAAATGCCTTTGTCTCTATGTCATAACCACTATCAAGAGTGTGTACATTTATTTAGTGCATTAAGTAGTATCTGTATTACATGACTTTAATGAATCAATATACATGATGGGATATGTGTGTAATAACACACAGCATTGTTATTTATTTATTTATTTACTAAACAGTAAACATACAGAATAAATTCAAGACTCATTTTTACACTAAACATAACTTGAAATATAGTTATCAAAGTATTGAAACAAAGTGAATATTTTAATATAAAATTAGCTTTAGTCATTTCTCCATTTTATCTATTTTTGTGACTTAGAGAAAATAATTATTGGCTTTTATATTACAGTATGCACTATGATAATTCTGCATAATCACTTTTGTGAAATGAGCAATTAGAAATCTAAATAAACATTTCAGATTAACTTTGGCTTTACAAATATTGCAATATATTTCTTTGGTGTTTCTGAAATTCATTTAAGAAATAACTTGGATGCATCATCATTCAATTTAATAGTTATTATTCAGGGATTAGTTAGAATTATATTTAATTATTAACACTGAAATAAGCACTACGAGCACGGGACAATAAATATAGACAATTTTCAAGCATAGCGTAATTTGTAACTGTGATACAATATTCTTTAACTTGGCATGCTTACATTATTTAAAACATTTCTAAAAAGCATCACTCAGTGCCAGATTCCCCTTTGAACAAGTATAAATAAGTGGTAGAAAGATCTACACAAGGATGTAGGCCAGATTTTCTCTCTTATGTATTCAATTTAGATGTGTTTACATCCAGGCTTGACGTTTGGTCAGTTTTTCAGTGAGGAGCACTCTCTTCTAGATAATAAAATTTGATAAAACAGCCATAAAACTTGAAAAATGCCATTACCGTTGTCCCATAAATGTAAAATTTCTGGTAGAGCTGGGGGATTTATACCTAGTGTTTGTCCCTTCACAGAGGCAAACATGCAAAAAGCCACTGTAATAACCCTTCAAAATCAGATAATATTCTGACAGCTCAGTTTCACTGACAAAAGAGTCCTGGGCAGAAGCCAGGAGGCCCAGGTGCGCTGTGTCACGCCAGTATTTAATGTAGTCTAATATCAGATAGATGCTAGTGAGAGAAAATACTCAGAATAAAGTACAGATAATAGCATGGACAGCCACTCATTGCAAAATTACTTGAGCTCATCACGCTGTGAGCGTTGTATTAAATTCTTCTGTCAAGTGTTAGGAATCATAGGGAGAAGTACCTCAGAAAACCTTCCTTGCAACCTGTGATAAGGATCTATAATATTAGGCTTTCATATGATAATGGCAAATGATGCCCTTTTTGAAAAATTGCTGACTGGTAATGAAAGTCCTAATCAGATTCTGTTGCAGAGGACCGGGAGGTAAGGGAACTGTGCCTGTAACACCCTTCATTCTCCACCCCTTTAGCAAATTTAGCAAACTTGACAAAAGCAGTGAGTCTGAGAGAATTTATCTTACATGAATTTCCAACAAAGCCTGTGGGGTTGTTTTGTAAAATGAGAAGGTGGTGGTTTAATAAATGCTGGGCCACCTGAGGCACTTTCATTAAAGGCTTTCTTGAGACAACATCACGATGTTTGCATTTTCCTCCTGTGCTCCCTCGAGAATATGAACGTTGCCTCTTCAGTGAGAGTTGATATTGTATGTGAAGGCATGAAGAAACATGATTTGATTTGTATTTCGGTGTCCAAAATAATTGTTTGTAATACCACTAGCATTAGAATTAATATTTAAACACATTTATTGTCTTCTATTTGAATGCAAAATTGTAAAATAAAAAAATGAGGGCACTTTGGAGAATTTATCAGTAAATCTGACAAACGGTCAACCTATGCCACTACTTCAACTATCAACTTCAACTATAGGGATGTCCATTTGTTTGAAAGTATAAAATAACTTTCAAAAATATAAAAGATCTACAAATGGTTTTGTTTTTTAAATAACAAGCTTATCAGAAAACTGCAAGAGCTGCTTGACAGACTCTGTAAGTAAATCACTTCTATAAGTAATACGAAGCTGACTGTTAATAAATTTTTAATGTAATTTCTAACGTCAGTGAATGCATTTTCTAGTCCTGGAGAAGCAGGGTAAACAGGCGAGATTCATAGATGTTTTCATCCGTGTCAATGGACTTACCATCTGTGTAGGCTTCTCTGCGCAGATGTCCTGGCTGGTGTTTTTGTTTCTTGGCTGGTCTGGTTTTCTGCATTACAGCAGCACTCATGTTGCTGTCTGTAGACACAGGACTTGTGGGCCTAGGGCACTGAGATGCATGAAAATGTCGACGGCCTAAGGAGGAAAAGAAAAATTCTGAGCCAAACGCATCAGTGAATTTTAATTACAACAGGAACAACAAAAAGAAAACATTAAAGCTAGAAACAGCCCTAATTTTTCCGAAAAACAACAAAAAAGCTTCAACAAACTCTTCTAAGCAAGTAATAGGCTTTTTGTCACTCTGCTATTTACTGGAGAAAATACCCTAAAAGCATTTTCTGCTCATTTCATTTGCTGTTTAAAGCATGGTGCTTTTGTTCTGTTAAAGTTTATGATATCTATTTACTAAAGAAAAGCATTCCAATTATTTTTGCAATCAGCTTCACTAAAATGTTATACTTAAACAAAAAATACTAAGTTTTTGCATAGTATAGCCAATATTCACTGCTTTTTCAAGAGGACAAAGTTCTTAAGAATTCATGTTCTAAGAAAAACGAACAGCACTAATGGCATCACTGTTTTAATTAAACATATATTTATAGTATACTTTGAAGACAGACTCAGGTGTGTTCTCTGCAGGTAGTCTGAAATTGAACTAGCTCACATACTTAGGTCTGCCAAAAATCACTTGCATCTTTTTTCCATCTCAAAGTATTTGCTAGTTCTAAGATATCCAGAGAATTCTGTTTTTTTGGTGGTGGAAGAGGTAGATGTTTGGTTTTAGAGAAACAATAATCCCAGGTACCAGTGGGAATTGAGTTTACTAATTAGACATGGCGTTTTATTTATTTATTTTTCCCCCAAGATGGAGTCTTGCTCTTTCCCCAGGGCTGGAGTACAGTGCTGCTATCTCGGCTCACTGCAACCTCTGCCTCCTGGGTTCAAGTGATTCTCCTGTCTCAGCCTCCAGAGAAGCTGGGATTAGAGGTGCCTGCCACTACACTCAGCTAATTTTTTTGTATTTTTAGTAGAGTTGAGGTTTCACCATCTTGGACAGGCTGGTCTTGAACTCCTAACCTCATGATCCACCCACCTCAGCCTTCCAAAGGTCTGGGATTACAGGAATGAGCCACTGAGACCTGCCTACACAGCATATTTCAACGCTCCCAGATTCTCTGGCTGTCTTACATAGATCCTGTATTATAACAGCTACAACATATTTAATCCATAATGACAGTGGAGATCTATTGGTCCTATGTTTGACTTTCACCATTTTGGTTTCTAGAAATTCTAGTCACAAATCCAGAACTTCCTACTGTACCACAAGAAAGTTCCAACAGACTTAGACAACATGTCTTTTGGCTATAAACACAAGCCACATATAGTGAAACCAACACATTTAAAGATGATAACTGAAGCATATTAAACAATAGACATTAATGCAGCCAAGTGAGAAGCCATGTGATTGGATATTCATTCATATTAACTTCACGTCACATGACAAGCACCATCATTCCCTGAAAAGAACACTGCAATAAGCAGAGGCCAATGCATGTTTAGTTCATTAAAATTATGAGCTCAAGGAAAACTAGAAGTGCCACTAAATTACAATACAATAAAATATTAAACCAACTCTCTTTAGCTATGATGGAGACTATTATAATTAAAGTTACATATCCATGAAACAGAATTAGGGCTGAAACTGAACCCATTATTTATTCTATTGCATAAGACCATCCACTGCTCACAGACCCTGAGGCATAAGGTCATTTACAGATGAATTTTCAATGCTATTTCTATGTTTTGTCCATTTAATAAACAGAAATATTTTCTAAATGTATTCTCAAAGCAGTGGTTTGAGATGGTTAATTTCACTTTTTTAAAAAGAAGATTTAAAAAAGGAGAAACAAAAGCTATATGTAAAGTTAGACGTTATTTATTTATTAAGAAAGATAATTAGGTTTGCATAGCTTATTACATTCAGCAGCTACTGGAGGAATAAAAAAGAATATTTGGTTGAATGTCAAAAAATATAGGCTTGGCTAAAATAAGTAATATATTCTACAATAATAAGTTGAGAGATATCAGAAATCTTTTTCCTGTAACATATTCTTGATATATAATATATAGAGATGATTTTATACTGTGATTTTAATTTTCTCTGAATATATTCTACACTGATAAAAAAATAATGACCAATCCACTATCTGAAAAGACCATGGAAAATTAGCAATGTGGTAATTACTAAACTAAGAAAAATAAAGACAGTAAAACACCAGTAACTAATTTGTTGTGATGGTCTTTTCCTTCTCTGAAATGTATCTCTTTCTTGGTGATCACATTATTTTACTCTACTATTTAGATTTTCTTGGCTATTAAAAATATAAACACACAAAAATATGTATGGGAATGTATATATTAATTTTACAGAAATGAAAATTGTGATAAATAAGTTTTACATTTAAATTCTTTTCTTTCTTGAACTATTTACTTTCTAAACAGGGTTGGGAATAGGAAGACATAAGTAAAAATAAGCTATAATATAAAGATGGATATATAGTAATTAAAAGTAGGTTACTGGCAATGAAAGGAAAAATATGAAAAGCACTTGGATTAGCTTGCTGTCCCAATTATTACATTTAAAATGTTTATTGTAAGTTTGGAACACTGAACATTGAAAATGTATGTACATTACGTATATCTTTATATCTTCCCAATTAACATTCTAATTTGAGACGACATGAAGAGAATGGGGATTAAGGAGAAACAGCCCATTTTCCAAGGGTCAAAGTGTTCCATTTGGGTATTTATCTATTTCCCCTACATAATTTTTATTTAAATAAGGTAAGAGAACTATCACAATAAATTTGATTCTGGTGACATTCTATACACAAAAAATTACCGTTTACATTCAAAAACACAAACTTCATTTAACTGACTGTATGTATAGTTGAAAGAAATTATACCAATTTGTGTAATAGATACATTTGCTATGGCTATTCTAAAAATAAGTTAGCTTCCTATCACTCATATTTTGTAAAATTTATGAAATAACAATAAAATAGAAGATTAAAAAGCCTTGTCAAGGAAAATCCAACTAAGTCATATTCTTGACCTGTCATTTTCTTAGGCAGCTAAAAAAAAAAAAAAAAAGTTGCTTTTCAAATAGGCCTTAAGATCACAGGAGCGAAACAGTAACAAACACACATGCCTTGAGTTTTCTTCCCCAGTGTGGTGGAAGTCTCAGGACTTACCAGCAGCATCCTGCATTTGCCGTCGCGCCACTTTCAGACCAGCATACTCTGCTGCTGCTGCGACTGCCTGGGCAAAGTCTGCATCAGTGAAAAAGGAGCCATCTGAAGAACTAACACTGGAGCGCCCACTGGAAATGTTGTCCTCCTCCGAGGCTGAGCCCCAGCCGTTAATCATGGACCCCGTGACAGAGCTCTCCAGGTCCCCAACACTGGAGGCAGGTGTCTGCTCAAGCCCACGTAACAAAAGCCTTCTGGTTTGCATCTTGGCTACTTCCATGTCGGCTTCATCTTCTTCCTCTTCTGGTGCATCCGTATCCATATCTGAGACCAGGGGTCCTGAAATGTAGCCATAGGTATGTGGAGGGGAAATCGGCCGTGGTGGTGGAGGAGGACTCACGGGCTGCCGTCTGTATGAAGACGAATAAAATAGGTCTGGCTCAGCTTGTTATTTAAGATATAAAAGGTCAAATTACCCAAGAAATTCACAAGTATGCAGATTTGATCTTTACTTCTTTTGAGCTCATGTTCAGAAAAACAACAGAAAATCACAGTATACTTAAGTTTGATTTTATATCGAGTTGCATTTCACAGCCAGAGGCTCCACTGGGTTACTTTTTGATTTAAGTTTAATAGAAATATGGTCCGTTATCTTTAAGTCCTCTTGTGTTTTATTATTTGGATTGCATTTGGTTAAAAAAGGAAAAGTAGTTCCTGTTTTGAAAACATAACATCTGTATCTGTCCTAAAGCATTTCAAATATTATCCACAGTTTATCATTACTGCCGACATAAATATCTGTTTCTTTCCTTTTCATCACCACTCCTCCTTTCTCAAGCAAATGAAGTCATTCACTCTCACTATAAAGTGTAAAAATTCATAAGATTTAAAAAATTTTACATTCAGCATATGATATAATTTCCTTTAGATTTTATTCAATTAAGAAAAAGCTATGGGAGCCAAGAGTAATTTTTTTTCTGAATTACTCACTTACGAGTTTCATTAAAGAGTATTAACTATTTTTTAACACTATTGCATTGACTGTTATTCTACCTTTTAAAAAATATTTAAAGGTAATTTTTGTGTAATTATTTAAAAACCAGAGTTGAGGACAAAATCAAGTAGTATCCGGCAGTACAGGTTCACAGTTAAAAGCTATCCTTCCACTATCACGACTTGTGCTACGATTCACAGTGAACAGACGACTGAGCAGGTATAAAGCATTGACTTGGGTGGAAGGCAAGGTCTGTGGAAAGAAGTCATCCCCACGGGAGGAGAATGCCAAGAGAACAACTCTTAAATTAAGAGTGCCTTCAACAAAGGAAGACATGCTGATTTCTAGTTGGAGGATTTCTTGGTCAGTGAATTGCTCAACAGTCCTAATATTCCCCAAGCAAGGTTAAAGAGATGACATAATGGAGGACTTTCAGATGGAAAGGTCATTAAAACAACTCAACAAAGTTTGCAGTCCTGAGAAGTAAAGAGGATAGAGGATAGATTCTACACAAGCTGCCAAACTGAGCACCAGTATTGGAGAGCAGCAGAGATTAGGGTCTAGCGTCATCTGGTGACCTCGATAGCTTGGGAGGCTAGGAGAGATACGACATGAATGCCATCAACTGGCATTTACCTGAAGATATGGATAAATCACTTAATAACTGCAATGGTGCCTAGGACTGGCCTTCATCAGTGGGGCACCTCTCCTTTACCATACTTATGATACTCGTAGTGTAAGATGAGATAGAATAGTCTTTAGGGCTATCCAAGCAGAAGACCAGATCTTCATCTAGTTTGCCCTTTTCCTATTCCATCTTCCCCACCTTAGCTCTAGGAGAATGCACCTGGCAGAGGAAAGAGGAGGGAGGTATTTAAAAGCGGAACATGCTCACTTTCTCCTTGCCGCCATAGCCACTGAAAAAGGCATTTGGCAAAGGATGTTTGGGAATGCACAACTGAGGTTTCAAAATTAACAGAACTGGCTGGGCACGGTGGCTCATGCCTGTAATCCTAGCACTTTGGGAGGCTGAGGCGGCCAGATCTCCTGAGGTTAGGAGTTTGAGACCAGCCTGGCCAACATGGCGAAGCCCCATCTCTACTACAAATACAAAAGTTAGCCAGGTGTAGTGGCGCACGCCTGTAATCCCAGCTACTTGAGAGGCTAAAGCAGGAAAATTGCTTGAACCCGAGAGGCGGAAGTTGCAGTGAACTGAGATCATTGCACTAGCCTGGGTGGCACAGACTGTCTCAATAAAAAAACAACAATAAAAATTAACAAATTAATTTAAATTAATAGAAATAGATTTTAACAGCAAGCAAACAAAACAAAACCATACAGGATACAGGATCTGGTTAAGATCTAAATAAAGTTAAAAACATGTAGGATCTGCTCCAAGATCTCTACTATAGAAGAGGAAAAACAATTTTGATATGGCACAGTTTTTAGGGTGGCATAACAGTGTTTTGAAGAAAAACGTTTTCTGCTTTTTATCTCAATGAATTGAGACACTTCAATAAATCTGTTTTATCAATGCAATGGAAAACATTAAAAATAAATAATTATTAAAAATACTGAAATTCATTTAATGAGCACTTACTTTGTAGCTAAGCATAGTTTACAAGATGTACTCATTTAACTCAATAACTTTCTGAGTTACTTTTTAAATGATCATTTTACAGAAGAAGATATTAAAATTCAGAGGAATTGAGGATCTTACCAAAGTTCCCATAGATCTCATGTATCAAAAACAGAATTTAAAATCAAGTTTTATTTCTAAGATCATGACCTTCCACACAAACATATATAAGTGTAAGTATATAATGTGTATGTATGTGTGTGTGTATAGACATATAAGCTAGGAGAGATACATGCCACATACAGATGTATTTTAAAAAACCAAGAAATTAAAGCTAACATATTACATTGAAAAAGTATGCATACTTACACATGCATATGTTTAATTATATATTATTATGTGTATATATATATATATATGTTATATATACACACAGAGCATGCTTTAATATAATGCATTACTTTTCATTTCTGGGTGGTTTTTAAAGTGCCTGTGTGTGGCAATAGGAGAAACATGAAAAATGTGCCAAAGCTGAAGTTATTTAAGAGATTAAAATGGATAATTGTTTCAATATGGAATGCATGTACACATAGGAGGAAAACCATTGTTTAATTTGGAATGCAACAAAATACCATACTTAAAAGTTAATTTACAATCTTTGTCAGCATACAAATCCAAAATACCACAAGAAACGTCTTCCTTTTTAAAGCCATGTAAGACTTTTTAGCACAAAGGGGACTATTTTGACCATCAATAAAGAAAGATGCAGAATGGCCGGCTTCACTAGAAAGGTTGCCAGCATTGTTGTTTGAATAATTCACATTCTGTAGAGCAAAAATATCTTCATGTTAAACAAGGGCTGGCTTTTAACTACAACCACCCCTAACAAGTGTTGAAGAAAGACAGAAAAAATTTATTCAAACCATCTGTAAATAAGGCAAGCCCAGGGAATGTGTGATAAACATGTACAGTTTGAAATATGTAATACATTCTATTGGAAAACAAAGAGCCATTTCAAGATGCTGCACTCAAGTAAGACTTGTCTCAAATGAACCTCAACCCTCTAGATTTCTCCCCCTGAGGGGTTTCAATGTCTTCTGAAATAATGTATATGACCCTGAATTGCAACACTCTAGTCTCCTGCAAGAATGATGCCTTCATAAACATGTTCAAGAGAAAAGCGGAGTGATGTCATTAATTTATCAAAGTAGGTGTTTATACCATTCACCACATAGCATTTACCAGGCACAAGAAAAAGGAGAAAAATGCATACCTTTGAGATTTTGTTCTAACGCTAATGTAGCCTCAATTTCTTATATAAGTAACTATTACCTCCATTTATCTGTATTAATAAAACAAGCAAGTCTCCTATTCCATACATGAAATAATTTATACTTTTCTAGATACTTACTAAACTGCAATAAACTTAACTATATCAATCACTTTTTAAAACAATATATGACAATAAGTTTAATTACATTATTTTCCTAGCTATTGTTCAAAAATAAGAGAAGACAAATTCCTATTATGTTGATCACCTAGTATATCCAGTTTTAGACAAAAGTCAAATAACCTAGAAGTTCATTATAATGCCAAAGTTGAAATATCCATAATAATGCAGGTCTGTAATGTTGATCTAATTATCATTGCATTGTTATAATGGTTTCAGTTTAGTAATTTTATTAATATAAAATCACACTATCTGTGCTGCTAATCAATAAATATAAAAGTAATCAATGTGTTTATTCTTTAAACATTTATTGTGCACCTACCATGGTAAAGACTGTTAGATTTATACCAAAAAGATCACAGGCAAACAGAGCTTAGGTAACTTGCTTTATGCTTTGTGACAGGTAAGGATTCAATTTTAAGGTATACATACTTAAGTATCTACCTGCCCACGGCAGACCGTATACTGCAAAATGTCCATAGCAATGTCTCTGTTCCAAATGCTATACTGAAATGAGAAGTTGCCGCTCTCCATCAAGAGAGGGAGATTAGTTCAACACTCTTGAATCTGATGGACTCTGTGACTGCTTTTATTAATACAACCTGGAAGAAGCCAGACTATTCACCAGTTCTAAATGCAGTCATTAACTGGCCTGGCAATTTCCCCTTCCTGCCTTTTTGGACGCCAGCTCCCATGAAAGACATGCCATTTCCCTGAGACTCCCAGTTATGAAAAGTCCAGACAATACGGTGGGACCTGGAGGATAAGACTCCATGTGGAAGGAGGCAGAGGACAAGGAGCATTGAGGCATCAGACATGAATGAAGAAACTAACTTGGAAGTAGTTCTAGCCCCAGCCATACAGCTAAAGCCACATGGATTGGAGATAAATTGTCCAGTTGATTCCTTTCAGAATTTCTGACTCATGGGATTGTGAATAAAATGATTACTTTAGGTGACTACATTCTGGAGTGGTTTGTTAGACAGCAATAGAAACAGGAACTCAGGCACTATGTTAGGAATTCACCTAAATGAAATACATATCCATGTCGGAAGGGACGTTTAGCCTAGTGGAGGAGACAAATAATTAGTTAAATATGCAATGACAGAGGATACACAGAATGCTGTGGGACACATAACTATGGGTCCTACCCAAACCTGGGATACCAGAGAAAGATTTACTGAGGGGGATCTGCCATATAATCTTGGATCTAAAGGATACCTAGGTGTTAGCTCCAAAAGGAGAAGAGAAAATGGTGTTCCAGGAATATGGGAGAGCATGTGCAAAGATATTGAGATGAGTGAGAACTGTGCTTATTCCAGGAACCAGAAGAAAGTTAGAGTGAAGACATCATAGACATTGATGGGGGAGTGGCAGTGGGTGCGGATGGTAGGGCACACAGGGGTCAGAGCACAAAGGGCTTTGATTGCTACATTAAGGAGCCTTGCCTTTATTTTAAGAAAAATGGGAAGCCATTGAGAAACCTTAAGCAATGGAGAGACTTGATCAGTGTTGCAATTTAGGAAAACGTCTCTGCACAGTCTGCAGTGAGGAATTAGACTGAAGAATGGCAAGGCCGAAGCAACAGGGCCACTTAGCAGAACATTACTGTAATGCAGGTGAGAGAAAATGGCTGTCGGAACTAGGAAAGTGCATTTACGGCTGAAGGTATGTGTATCACTCAGAATGATATTTAGGCAGTAAAAATCTACAGGAACAAGAAGTTGGATATATGGATCTGAAACTCCAGAAAGAGATTTGTAGAGAAATAGCTATCTATATCTATGAGTGTACCATTAGGGAAATGGCAGGATGATAAGACTCAGAAGTCATCTACTGATGGGGGAGGGATTAGAATAGATCAAGGGATCAAGAGGAGACTTCATTCAAATACTTAACTAAAGATGGAAACCATAACATTGTATATAGTATCAAAAAGGTAAATACAATTGAAATGGCCAATATTAAGGAATTGGTTAAACAGAGTAACACGCTTTATGTAAGTGTCTAAATAAAATGCTACCAACATGGAAAAACGCTGTTCAGTGAAAAAAAATAGTTTATAAAATAATATTGGCATGTCATAAATCCAAGCCATGTGACAATAGTAAAGATGAAAGATATAAAGGATCTTTACTGAGGTCTTCACACTGATTTTCTGATTACATAGATCACTGGGACTTTTATATTTTCATTTATTTATAGGTATTTTCAACAATTTATATAGTAAATATATAGGATATACATTAATCATAAAAAAGCAATTAAAGCACTTTTAAGAATGGGCTTCCACCTACTTTTTATTAGTGCCTAGTGTTGTTTCCAGCAATGACCCTGAAAATAAAATCCATAATATCCTTATAGATTAAAAATAATATCTTTGAAAAAGGCTGAATATAGTCAAGTTGATCATAAGTGCAGATAGTTAATGTATTACCCAATTACATTTACCTGCCTCAAGTTCTACAATCATCCATTAGCCTAAAAGAATAGACAGTAAGTAGATCAACTCAAATTCTTCCATAGTATCCAATTCCATTTATCAAATACTTTACTGAAGAAAGCCCTGCAGAACTCAATGACATAAACAAGATGAGTTCTGCCTTCAAAAATCTTTTAATTTAAATTGGAAAACAGAGATACAAATAGCAAATGCTAATGCAACATGAAAAGTGGTTAGTGTGGTAACACAGATGGAAATAGACTCTTAGGAAGAGTAAAGAAAAGAGGGGGTGGGTTTTTCCAGGCAAGCAGAGGGTGTGTCATTTGAACAGCAATTTGAAAGATGAGAGGTGCTTGCCAGGCAATCAGAAAAGAGCATGTAGAAGACCTGGATGTTGATGAGCTTCAGGCAAAGTGAGGGACTTTCAAACAGACTAATCAGAAAAGAGTATACATGACAAAATTGGGAGGGAAAGTAAATAAAGGGAAAAGGATTATTAAAAAACTCTAAATACTGGGTTAGAAACTAAGACTGGACTCTGAATGAGGGAACATTACCAGACTTGTGGGCAAAGAAAGATATTGTGAGAATGAACAGAAAAACAGAGAGAAAAAAAGTGGTGATCTCTTTAAGGATAAGGCAGATTTCACGGGACAGGGATGGAGGGCTGCCCTAGCAGCTGTTGGAATGGAAACTAAGGAGCAAAATCAAAATCAAGGGCCATTTTGGATTGAAGAGACTTCATGAATTAACCTCATTTGTAGAATGCTAGAAAGAAACTAAACTGATTTTAAAATGACAAAGGTAGTTTTTATGAGTTTTCCCTATACCCTTAGGCATTTTATTTTAAAACATTGGTCAAATGAATAATGGTTGAAAATTCTAAACAAGATAGCCAGCAAAGTAAAAGAAAAGGCAAGTTTGCTCTTATCTGTAATCCCAGCACTTTGGGAGGCTGAGGCGGGCAGATCACCTGAGGTCCGGAGTTTGAGACCAGCCTGATCAACATGGAGAAACCCTGTCTCTACTAAAAATACAAAATTAGCCAGCATTGGTGGTGCATGCCTGTAATCCCAGCTACTTGAGAGGCTAAGGCAGGAGAACTGCTTGAACCAAGCAAGGAGGCAGAGGTTGGGATGAGCCAAGATCGTACCAATGCACTCCAGCCTGGGCAACAAGAGTGAAACTGGGGTCTTATTAAAAAAAAAAAAAAAAAAAAAAGAAAGAAAAGGCAAGTTTGAAAAGTCAAGTCCAAAGACAAAGAATTTGAATTTGGACACATGGTGAAGTTCAAGTGGAAATATTGTGGCACTCAGAAAAAGGGTCTAGGCTGGCTAAAGAAATTTGACAGCCATCAGAATATAATAGTTGAATCAAGCAGTGGGATGATCGTGTAAAGGTGAGGGCGGTAGGGCACTAATATTTCTGAATACTTACCTTGCTTCAGATGTTTACATACATTATCCATTGATTCTCACAACAATTTATAAAATGACCATCAATGCAGAAAGCATAAGTATGATAAAGACTGAGACGCCTTTAGATTTGACCATTAGGAGGTTACTTTCAATGGACTGATTGAAGCAAAAAGTTGTAAGTCAGAATGCAGTGGGCTGAGGTGCGAAGGCAAATCAGGAAGGCAGAATAACTTAAACAAAATGAAGCAGGGGGAGAGCATGGAAGCAGAAGGAAGGCCAAGGAAGAGGAAAGTATGACGGAAGTAGAGTTAACCCTGAAGAGAAGGGGAATTGAATGAGGAGGAAGATGCTATACATTCCAGATAGATAAAGGAAAACCGATTTCTGTTATCAAGGAAGGTGGAAAGGAGGACAAGAATACAAAAGAAGAGCTAGCCAGAAAGAAAATACTGGGTATCCTGAAAATAGAGACAGGAATGGTGAGGAAACAGGTAATACGAGGGAACAACAACAACAAAAAGAATCCTTAGGTATTTCAAAACTAAATGGTCTCTTTTAGTCTCTCACTGTCTTCTAATAAGAGTAGCACGGATGGTGTGATATTAATATGGAGAAGAGGTGCCTTATTTGCTCTCAATTTTCATGACATTCCATGGATTAACAATATTACTTTAAAAAGTCTGATAATCCAACTTTCTCACTGCCAGATAGAAGAAAGCTTAACTACTTTCTTGTTTTTACAGTGTATGTAATTTGAATCTGGTCATCTTTACAATAGAAGAGTTAATAAACATTGCAGAATTCTCTTTTAATCTACAGAGTAAAAGTCAAGCCACATAAATCAGAATTTGTTATTCATTTGAGAATATCAAAGGAACATATTCTGAAGCAAATAATATACTCAATTTCAAATGATATTAGAAATACAGAAAATAATATATACATATAATGTGTCAAGGGCAATAAAATAGTATGAATAAAATCATCAACAATGAGAGAAGAGCTAACATGATGTAGTAATAGCTTTTATGTGGTAGAAAAGACAGGTGAAGCCATTGTATACAACAAAAATGAGGATGCTCAATACATAGGCTTAAAAAAGTCTAAGCACACACAAGCGTGCACACACACACGTGCGCACATACACACACACACACAGAGTACACAATAATTGATGAAAGAACTCCAAATCATATCTAAACAAAAATAAAGGTTTCTGAGGTCAATACAAAAAGAGTATACCAAACGAATTCTTCTGTAACATTATAGCTATGAGGGAACACATTATTATGTAAACTTCATTTTAAAACAGAGGAGAAATTGTATTTTCTACCAACTAAAGACATAATTTATCGATGCAAAAGGAAAACTGAAGTACAAAACACCCACTGTCAATCACATGTTACAGGATTAGCAAACCATATGCCATGTGGTTATGACTTTAATTTTATAAGTGGGTGAGTATTAATGTACATTATTTTATGGTTGCAAGTTCACTAGAATCAATTAATCTAAAGCAATGGTTAACAATATGACTCGATATATTAATTACCTGGGCTTACTGTGGGATGATACTGCAAAAAAAAGGCTTATGTGGCAAGAAAATTACTTCATGGGATAGCATTTGATAACTTGCAACTGAGGAGTAGAAATTATCTGATTTGTCAGCAAAGAAGGCTAGTGACAGCCTACCTCCTGTCGGGTTGGTGCTGCATGTGGCCAATCTCCTCTGGACAATCCTGTAACATGGGCTGAAGTTCTTCCTGTGGGGAAGGAGTCAGAGTGGCAGTGGATTGATGGCTATAAGACACAGCAGCTGGAGAAGAAGCTGCTCCCCTAACAGGCGGGGTGGGGCCTCGTTCATCTTCCTCCTCTTCTAATTCATCTTGCTGCAAATACATCCTTGCTGGTGGCACAGGACATGGCATTTCTTGGTCATAGCTAAAAGAAATTATAAGGATGTGTAGACTTACTTCAGGTTATTCAAATAAACTACCTGGATAGTAATGAAATGTCACCTTTAAATTGTTTTTCAAATCTGAATGTTCTCAGTCAGGTTAAGGAGACAATTGTTGAAAAAGATTTTACCTCCCAAGGTTTGTGAATTACTGCATAGATTATTTTTCTCCAAGAGACTGCAATTTACATTAGCATATTATAGGGTCTTAGAAGTCATGCAATTAAAAAAAAATTCACATAACATGGCTTAATTTAGTACACCCCAAATGTATTTGGTATAATTTGTACCTCCAATTAAATATGTTCTCTAAAAGAAGACTCTAAGACGGTATTACAGAGAACCTGAACATGAGCTGCTACATTTTGAGAAAAATGTATTTTTATTTATTTATTTTTTTTGAGACAAAGTTTCACTCCTGTTTCCCAGGCTGGTGTGCAATGGCATGATCTTGGCTCACTGCAACCTCCGCCTCCCGGGTTCAAGTAATTCTCTTGCCTCAGCCACCCAAGTAGCTGGGATTACAAGTGTGCATCCCGATGCCTATCTAATTTTTGTATTTTTAGTAGAGACAGAGTTTCACCATGTTGGTCAGGCTGGTCTCAAACTCCTGAATTCAGGTGATCCATCTGCCTCGGCCTCCCAAAGTGCTGGGATTACAAGCATCAACTACTGTGTCCAGGTGAGAAAAATTACTCTTAAAAATCCTTTCAGAGAAAGATATACTGGAGATCAACCTATTTAGTTCAATGTAACCCATTTATTTCTCTGAAATTATAGTAGATCACTATTTCTTCAGTTGAACACAAAATGAATTAGTTGGCTTCCATTTAGGATAGTGAGTGAAAAATACAATAATAAAATGCCCCTCTACTCCTCTGCTGGAGCTGGGTGGGAGACAAGACGGATCTGGGAAACATTCATGATTTCTCGTTTCTCTTATCCCAGGGCATATGTTTACTGATTAAAAGGGCAATGATGTACTACATTATATAAACTGTGATTCTGTTACCCATTTCTCTTGTTCATTCTCTACCACCCACCTTGCTTACCTGAACTCAGAAAAGTTGATGCTTAAATAATGTTTCTTTGCATCTTTCTTTACTTTCGTAATCTAACTCCCTCTTTGCCTCTTTTTTTTTTTTTTTTTTTTTTTTTTGTAATTAACAAACAGCTGAGCAACTTGCCTACTCACCCAAACTGGAAATGTTTTAGTCATCTTTGACTTCTCTTTCTTCTTCCTCAAACTACTCCTCAGTTCATTTTATTCTATACATAAAAATTCTGTAGAATCTATTCTCTTATTTTTATTTGTTGTATGTGCTACTGCAATAATCTTTTAATTGGTCTCCTAGACTCCAGTCACGCCATTGCTTCCAAAATTACATAAATATGCACCACACACCGGTTATTCATGTGCTGTTCAATCAACCCATATTAGAGAATAAAATTTAAATGACTAAGCAAGACACTCAAGTATCTGCATAATCTGGCTTGCACGTGCCATCCCAGCTTCCTTTCATTCCTCACCATGTGTTTCATGTTAGTTTCTCCACATCTCTGTGTGGTCCCATGTCCATAAAACCCCTCCTTCTTAACTGTGAACCTTTTCATTTGTCCAGATCAAGAACAAATGTAGCCAATCAGGAAAGCTTTATTCTTCTCTGTTAGAATCAGTCTTTCTCCTTGGGACACAGATGCATCTCCTATACAGCTTTCATTTTTCTTAGCCTATATTCACTTATTTCATTCTAGTCCTCTTATTTTTGTGAGCCAAAGCAGCGACGAATGTTGTTAGAATAGCTTGGGAAATGCATTTTAAAAAATACATTCAGGCCAAATAGAGGGCTCGTGCCTGCCTGCAATCCCAGCACTTTGGGACGCTGGGGCTGGACGATTGCTTGAAACCAGGAGTTTGAGAACAGCCCAGGCAACACAGGGAGACATAATCTCTAAAGATAAAATAAAATAAAATTTGCTGGGTGCTGTGCCATGCCTGTAGTCCCAGCTACTTAGGAGGCTGAGACGGGAGCATTACTTGAGCCCTGGAGTGAGTCCCTGTTTGTAAAAACAAAACAAAACCAACCAAACCAAACCAAACATACAGTTTTGTTTTCATGACTTGCAGATTCCATATTTGCAAATTCACTGACTGGGTGAAATTTATTTGTAAAGCCCAAAATCAGTATCTGAGGCATGTTCATGGTCATTCCCAGAGATTCACAAAGAGGCCAAAAATGTGAGCGCTTCATGTGCATGTTCCCAGCAGAGGAAAAACAAGGATACACTCTGCTTTCTTGTGTCAGTCGTCATACTATAAACCAATGTCCTTTCCATGCTTTATTTAGTGCCATGTTTGCTGAAGTGTTTTAAACTTTGTATTAGTGATTTCCCTGTTTAAAATGGCCCTCAAAAGAAGTGCAGAAGTCCTGTTTAGTGTTTCTTAGCCCTGGAAGGCTGTGATGTGCCTTACCAAAAAAAAAAAAAAAAAAAAAATGTATCTGTGAAATAAGCTTTGCTCAGGAATGACATATCGTGCTGTTGGATTCCATATTAATAAATGAACAAAATATATTAAATAAGCTTCCTTTAAAAACATACATAAAACAAGGTTATGTATTGGTTAGTTGACAAATATGCTGTGGGTAGGGGTTAGCAGAAACTTAACCCTGTATTTCCCCTAGGATCAATGGTTCCACAGTTGCTAACTCACTGTTCAAAAGAATTTTAAAAAAGCATAAATATGGTGAATAATGAGAGTTTCCTGTAAATATTTTTATGTACAAATTTTACTTAAAAATGCAGTTTATAAAAAGATGATTAGAAAGTGGAAACACGGAGGCTTTGTTTATGGGCATAGTTGAAACTGTAATACACATTTTTGTGTGTGGAGAATGAAGGAATGATGTGTTTGTTTCTATAGCAGTCACAGAAAAGACTATATTTTCAGGTATATTTTGTGATTATTTGTTAACTCTCCACTTTAAAGCAGTTTTCCTCCTTTGGTTATGTTAAAGAAGCAGCTGTTTTGTTTGGCGGTACATCCAATTCTACAGATTCTGGACTGAGAAAGAGGTACACTAACTTCCTAATTGTTATCATGTGGATAATTACACTTGTTAAATCTTTAGAGAAACGATTCAGTAAAGTTTACATTTCTACAAAGAGTTCTCGGCATCAGATGATAATATCTAAGAACAAATAACCTTTAGGATACTGTCATTGTTGCATAAATCCACACAATTATAAAAATTTCAAGACATGCCACAGAAGTTCTACTATTCAAAAATCACAAATCATATATATCCACATGTTAAATTATGTATACACACACACACATACATACATACACACATACACACACACACACACACACACACACACACACACACACACAGAGGACATATACATGAGCTAATATGTATTTATTTTTCTATTCTATTCTGACTTCCAAAAGAATCTTTCAAAGTACAAATTCCTGTTTTGGAAGCAGCAAGGACAATATTTACTCCTGCTGACCAGCATTGTTTTATTTAAAGGCAATTGTTTGTGGACCTTAGAAATCAGTCTTCTCTTAATCATCCAGTTTAATAATTGCTTAAAATGGTCTGAAACAATCATATTACATCCTTTACATTTGTTTAGACACTCCCCTTACCTTTCGTCTACAGAAATGTTGTACTCTTCGCTATTGCTGTGTGGAGGAGGATGTGCTGGGGGAGGAGGAAGCAGGTCAGCCCAGTTCATGCCACCTTGTTTTGGTGCTTTGGGTGTTCTTGCCGCTTTCTTGTGCCCTTGACTCCCTAGAAAGGAAATAAAATATAAGCCTTTGATCTCTGGCCTTTAAACTTTTTCTATTGTCACAAGTTAATTATTTTTTGTAAATATGATTTTATAATTCATTTATGTATACAGACATGAACAGACTTTTTCGTTAATTTTAAACAGAACTTTGTACAAGAGAAAATGCAAAGTATTTCTACGTACAACTGCAAAATAAATAGCAAAAAAGCAATAAAACCACGAATGGATGTTTCAAGTCATATCATTAATAGTGATCTTCCTACAGCAATTAATTGCATTATGGATTATCATCTCAAACAAATGAGCTATAGCCATATTTTCAGGAGTGCCTTTCTATTATTTAATTGCTGGAACCTAAAATACAATATGATACAGATACGATCTATTAGAGTTCCACTGTTGCATTAAATCACTGAATATATATGATTTGTACTTGTCCATTGAAATGTTTTAGGCACAATGAAATTACTGGTTTCCTTCAGAAAGGCAAGTACAGATGAAATAATAGCTGGAATAACTGATAGAACTAATGACAAAAGAGGCAGAAACATGATTTTTAAAAGGGACAGAAGTGTTCTCAGCCACTGTTTCTATACAATGATTGCTTATGGTAAAATGATGTTGCTTGAACATTCTTAGTAGTTTGACATAGCCCAATTATTCAAGTGTTCCAGTGTTCTCATTTTAGATTTGGCATAGTCTTTAAACACAGTTTAAGCATTTGAAAACATTTATTTTAAAGAAAACTTTAGGTCAAAAAATCTTTTGGGATAAAATATCTCCCTTTCTAATACATTACATTTAGATTCATATGTGAATTACGGAAGATGACTCTATAATTATTTTTCTCATAAGGTCCCTTAATATCAGTGAATTATCTTGGTCTTACTTTTTAACCTTATCCAAATCTTTTCCAAGTCATGTAATACATGAACCAGGTCCGACCATATTCAATGAGCCTTGATTTTCGTGTCGCTTGGGAATTTTCAGTCAAATGGCAGTGTTTGTTAAGCCAGATGTTCTGGTGCTGGTGTGTCACTGCACCAGGTGTGTGCTGGGACAGGCTGTTACTAATAAACTATGGTCATCAGTCCTATGCGTATGCATCTCTTTTCTCTGCCACCACTCTGGTGTCCAGTATTGGGATGACTGTGCGTGTGTTGTAGGCTAGACATTACCCAGTGCCTTCCACTGCTTCCTGACATATATCTACTGTAGCAACTCCATCAGTCCTGAGAGGCCTGAGACAGATCTCTCCTATATCTTATTTACTTGCTTTGTTCTCTTCCTGCATTACCATCAGCTTTCGCATATTTATATCTTTTTACGATATATTCACAGAGTATCACATGACATATAGCAGCAGAACATCCAGATCTAGGTATCTAAGCTGAGGAATACACAAGGTCAATTAAATATTAATAATCTAGAATCACTGTTTTTTTTTCCCATTAAGATATGGTATTTTCTATGTGGCTAAGAATTCAAAGATGAAGTGGCATGAGACAAACAAATAATAAAATATTTCACATGGGTTTCTTAAAAGTAGATCCCTGAAATATTTCTCTTAATTCAGGATTGACTTAGTTTCAAAAAAGAAGTCATTTAATAAGATGTTAATTGTTAAAACAAACAACATATAATAGAATCAGAGTAAATCTAAATGGTAAAGGGCCATTACTAAGCTCCCTTAATTTTTTTTTTTTTAGCTCCTTTAATTTCAATAGAAACACAGGCTAGAAAATGCCAAACCAGCATGTGAGTTAAGGGAAAACTGTAAAATGCAAATACCATATTCATTCCAGAAGAAGGGTAGAGACTCTTTGCTAAAAGCCCCCAAGAACAACTTTAATCCTGTTGCTGGGAAATGCCATTTCTACCCTCTCCCGAAGAAACATTGCCAGAGTCAAGATCAATCGGTTTTGTTCTCACTGTGGTGTGACGTGCCACATGTTAGTTCTAATAACGAACTGCCTTTAATTAGAAAAACAGGACTTAAGTACCCAGCCAGCTCCCATCTGCAGCCCCTATCAGGAAAACAGCTGGCAAACAGCTGCAACAGCATGAAGACCACAGGGAAGAGGTCTCAGTGTGGCTTCAGGAGGCACTTACAGACTGAGGTTGGGAGGTTGCTTTACAAGGCTTCAGAGTCAGAACTGAGGGGATCAATCGTAGAGAGGTGATAAACTGAGACAGGTTCTTACTACGCCTGAATCTCATGTTATCGTCTTTCAGGCTTTTGATTCTGCTCAAGTGTCCTCAAACATTATGTGCTTTTATAGGCTCATTTCAAATGGCAACATATTTAGCAGATTAATTCTACGTGCAACATTTTTAGTTGTATTTTGGCCAAGGGGGAAAAAGAAGTTTCTACTGCCTTTAAAGATTAGGCAAACATGTTTCTTCTGGCTTTACCTAAGCTCATTAACAAGAATGAAAATAGGACAGTCAGACTTTGTTGCCAAATAGGACATAAAATGACTTAGTGAGTGGAAAGTCCCTCAGATTGCAGAGACAAGACACATGCCTGAGATTCAAATTACATACCGTGATTTAGACACGTCACCTACATACATCAGTCCACTGGCACTCAATTTCTAATCTTGGAAAGTACCAACTTTTTAAAGGACACATTCTTTGGTTCACCTTACTTACCAGATGTACTGCTGCCCCGGTCCGAACTGTTGTAGGATCCTCCTGTGTTCTGGTCGTACGATTGGTTGTATGGGATAGTTGGAGGAATTGTGTCATTTGCTCGATAATCTAGACATTTCAGATGGAAAAAAAAACATTTATTTTCTCTTTGTGAGTGGTTTCACATCTCTGTTTTATCTATATTTCTGAGTAACTAAAGAAACTAGTTGGACGATTTATTTCCCCTTTTTTTCTTTTGTTGTTGTATTCAGATTGTCAAGAAATAAAAATGCCTATACTCCAAATATATATAAACTATAAATAACTTGAACAATATAACAATATAATTTTAAAAAGAAATCATAAAAATATCATATCTGCAAATCGTAAAAAATAAATCACAATAACGTAAAAATAAAACTGAAACTTGTCAGCAAGGTTATATCTAATAAAAAAAAGTCCATGGTAAAAAACCAGAATATCTTAATGTTCCCCAGAAATGCTTCTGCTTACTTAGGCAAAGGTGAAAATCCAAATGATAAGCTCACCACTGGAATGTAGTCAGTAATAATCTGTCATCTAGTTGCATTCCAGGTTCTTTATTATAGTCTGACATACCAAATCTGCTTACAAGCAGTATAAACAATAAATCAGAGTTCTGAAATATTTGTACGGAGGCTCTCAGGGCTTTCCGAAGTCCACAGTAAAACCATACGCTATGAAGGAATAATGTGACAATAGTTTGAATCACCACTGCAAACTCCATGATTACAGAAACTGTCCTATTCATCTTTGTCAGTCTTTATCATGAACTTATGCAGAGTCTCGATCAATACTTATTAAATTGGGTTATTATACCAATCAAGGCCTTTCTTTAACTTGAGAAAAGACTAGCTCACTTCTTCATCAAGTTAAAACCTACAACATTAACCCAAATGAAATTTTTAAGTTAAAGTTTTGTAATCTTCAACTGCAGTTAGGTTGTATTTTTGAGGAAAATGTTCCCAACCCAACGCTAAAGAAAATAAGTCTATGTCTCCAATTATCTACCAGAAAATATATTCTTTACCTGGAATAGATGGGATGCATTGTCCCCAACTATTCACATTAGAGCAATCCTGGTTTTCCTAGAGGTATAACTTTGCAAATCATGTTATTAAAGCAGTAACCTAAAGGACTACAGAGAAATCAAACACCTATCTTTTCCAACTCCTACATGTTACAATAGAGAAACATTTCCTTCAGGCCACAGAATTCTATTCTGCGGCTTCAAGTTAATACTAAACTCAATTTATTTTAGGTTCTATACGGACAGACTTCTATCAGGTCAACCAAAGAAATTTAGGTTCTAAAATCATACATTGTAGCAGTCTTAATAACCACAGGAGGTAGGAGACATACAACAAATTGAACCGCTTCTCCAGTTCAAGTTTAATTATTTTATTTCAGGTTGATATAAAAATGCCATTGGTTTATATGACCACATAGAAGCAATTAACTTCCATCCTCTAGTGGAAAGAATGGGATAGTCTATTTATTGAAAATGTGAGGTATTGTGACAGTTGTACATCTGCCTCATGAATAAAAGATTGTCCCTCCCAATCCCTCACCTGCTATTAAATTCAAATTAATCTCAGTATCATTTGAAAATACTTATATATTATTATAAAATAAATTTTCCAAGGTTATTGTTGTGCTAATTAACTCCCTGACACTGGAAATTTCGAAACCAAAGAAATAAGAAAATCTTAGCGACAGAAGAAAAGATTTTACTTGCTAGTCTCAGACAAGTTTGAACGTCTAGTTGAGGTGCTGAGAGTACTATACAGAAACGGATGGGAATACATGCAAGCGTCCTCACCTTTGTTCAGCTTGTTTTGCTCCATGATGTTGTACTGAACTGGTGCCACTTCCTGTTTCTGCTGTCCCAGTGGTTTCCAGTGCTTCTCGCCAGAGTCCCCGCTGCCGCTGTTCATGTTGTTGCTGAGGTTTGACTGGATGAGCTGAGTGGTGGCGTAAGGAGTAGGCTGCCCTGATGGATTGACAAAACGCCCATCCTTCAGATTTGGGCTATTGAAGGTTTTCATCTCATTGATTTTGTTACTAAGGTCCACATCACCATAAACAGTTGACTCAGGGAGCATCAGATTTGTTTGTTTGTTATCCAGTTGGTTGTTATAATTGGCTATACAATCAGCTATGTGCAATGGAGAGGAAAAGGAAAAGGTCATTCTGCATGGTTATTCCTTTTAGATTTCTTTCTACGTAGCTTTGTGAGTCATAAGAAAATCGTAATGTAAAGTACAAGTGGGCTTAAATAAGATCAATAAAAAGGGCCAAATGTCCGCATGTGCTTTCTAAAGGAAATTAATAGTTGAAAATAAGAGAGGGTGCACAGAATTTGAATAGAGACCAAATAAATTTGAATTTCTGATAGTGCTGAAGTAAACAATTCATCAGATTTAAAATAATTTTTATTTAATAACCTCATTAATAGGAATCCTACTAAAATAATATATACACAAATATCTTTATGTGCCAACTTTTATTTTCTAATCTTTGGCTACTGAATTATGTGAAACTACAGGTTAGCTGCTGAAGCAACAGAGGAAACACATACATTGAAAATCCAAAGGAAAAAAAACTACTCATAGATGAAAGAACTTGAGATTTCAATATTTTATAAAATACTTATATTTAAAAGATATGAAGAATGGGGTAAAATGATACACTAAGGAGAATTCTGCTAGTTCTTGTTGTGGTCATACTGGATAACCATTATCTGGAAAGCACACTATATAATCATTTTCCCATGGTTTCATAGTAACACCCCAAGAAATATAAAATGACAGTAATAATAACAAAAGGTATGATAGTAACCTGGGTCACTGAATCAAATACAGCCTAAAATAATACTTAAATATCTAATATCTCATTTCCACTCCAGTTTTCTCTTCATTGAAATATTTGGACATTAAATAACTGAACATACATGTATTTTATATATATATATACACAATTAAGGTCTGAAGTTGAAAATACTAAAACAGTAGGGAAAACTAAAATGATATTTTTAAATTAAAAGTTTTACAATAGAAAAATTAGTTAAATCACAATGATAAAAATATCATTAATTATTTTATTCATATTGCCCAGAAGTAGTAACAACATCAACAAGTGACCTGTAGCATTGGTTTTTAACTGGGTATCTTTAAAAAATGATGAATTAACATGTTTGTTATGAAAGATGTGAATATGAAATAATCTGAACAAAAATGTGTAATTTCTCTATCCTACTGAATTCAAGTATTCTGCATTTCAACCATGAATGATCACAGGGAGCAGAAATACTTAATTCATCTGGTCTTTGCGATTCTTATTTCTAATTTCTAGTTTTGTTTAACAGTGGTTAAGAAATACTATAAAGGACATGTGGTTTTTGCAATCTCATTTTGTTTCGCCAATCATTCTATATGTGTGTTATGCAACAGAACTTCTGAGATGTTGGAGATGGTCTACTCTGCTTTGTCTGATACAGCAGTCACTAGTCACATGTGGCTACGGAGCACTTGAAATTTAGCTAGTGCAGATGAGAGACTGAGTTTTAAATTATATTTTATTTAATTAATTTAAATGTAAATAGCCATCTGTGGCCACTGGCTACCATATTGGACAACACAGCTCTACCTATTAATTTAAATGGGTACCACCATTTTCTTCTCTCCTATAGGTCTCAACTTAGTTTTTCTTTTACTTATGATTACATGAATATGTATTTGCCTAGACATTTAGAATATGGACCTCTGGAGGATGCGGACTTGGCCACATAGCTATGTCACATCCACATTCATTGGAGACTCAGGATTCGTTTTAAGGGGAGACATGCAGATTCCTTTATGATTTGTTCTTCACAATGTGTAACATCTTTACTAAAATCCATCTTCTCTCTCACTTTTCCTTAATTCCATGAGTTATTTTATTTCTATCATCATACGGATTCCTTACAATAATTTTAACGTTATCTATATGGGAATATTGTCTTTTTCTTGGGGGGGGTTATTTTGTCAGAAATCTTTGGTAATTTTTATCTTTGTTATTACTTTAAATCTCATATACTGTACATTCAATTTTTTACTATGTTTTGGCATGAAATTTTAGCAAGGTAATTTACTCACACATATATCTGACCCAACAAATAGACAATAGAAAATAAATGTATGCATACACACCTGCAATATATGTATGTGTGTGTACATATATAATACACACACACACACACACACATATATATATATATATATATAGTGTCCTCAGGATTTGCTACTATAAAATTTGATTTAAACTTTCAGTTAATTTTCATTTAAATTTTTTTGTCATTACTGTTGTAGATTATTATTATTTTTACTATTAAAGAATTTGGTTCATTATAATTAAGAACTTATTTACCTTTTGTTCTGTTATTCTCCAAATCTCAAAAATAATTAAATGTGATTAAAGATCATTGAATTATAATTTAAAATTATATGTCAGGCACAGTAGCTTATGCCTGTAATCCCAACACTTTGGTAGGCTGAGGCAGGAGGATTGCCTGAGCCCAGGAATTTAAGACCAGCCTGAGAAACATAGCAAAATCTACATCTCTATAAATTTTTTTTTTAATTAGCCAAGCAATGTGGTCTCTGCCTGTGGTCTCAGCTACTTGGGAGGCTGAAGTAAGAGGATTAGTTGAGCCCAGAGGTTTGAGGTTGCAGTGAGCTGTGTTAATGCCACCACACTCCAGCCAGGGCTACAGAGTGAGACCCTACCTCAAAAAACAAAAAACAAACAAACAAAAATGGTGTAAGAAATTGTCATCACATACATTCTGATCAAGATACATACCTTTGACCAGTCTGACCACCATGGTAACCCCTATCTTTACTAAAACTACAAAAATTAGCTGGGCATGGTGCTATGTGACTGTAAGCCCAACTACTTGGGAGGTTGAGGCAGGAGAATCACTTAAACTTGGAGGCAGAGGTTGCAATGAGCTGAGATTGTGCCACTGCACTCTAGCCTGGGTTACAGAGTGAGACTATGTCTCCAAAAAAAAAAAAAGACAAATAATTTTATAGTTACTCATGGTGGCTCACGACTGTAGTATCAGCAATTTGGGAAGCCAAGGTGAATGGATCACTTGAGGCCAGTTCGAGACCAGCCTGGGGAACATGGCAAAACCCCATCTCTACTTAAATAAACACAAAATTAGCTGAGCCTGATGGTGCAGGCCCATAGTCTCAGCTACTCAGGAGGCTGAGGCATGAGAATCACTCGGACTCAAGGAGAACAGGTTGCGGTGAGCCAAGATGACAGCACTGCCCTTCAGCCTGAGCAACAGAGTGAGACTCTGTCTCCAAAAAAAAAAAACAGATAGATACTTTCACATGATTTTATTTTTCCTTATTTGTTGTTGATTGTAGAGTTTATCTTCCCAATTATCTGGGAGAAATATTTCTAGTGGACAGTAAAGTATGGAGGTTAAAGGACGGAACAAATATTTAAATCAGGTTATTTTGCTAAACAATAGTCAACATTCGATAAAATATTGGTCAAATTACACCTTCCCATGTAGGGAGAGGGAAAGAAAACATCTTCTGGCTAGTTCCTAAAAAGCTTATCCATATCACGCTCTCTCTGTGTCCCTAACCTGGGCGGCTGTAGGTAGTGAGGTTGCTGTCACTGTTCCCATTGCCTGCTGCACAGCAGCTGATGGAGCAGTCATTGTGATTGTTGCCAGTGTTAGGCCACGTGTCTGCCAGCCAGGGCTGCGTGGTAGGTTCACTGATGTTGAGAAGTCCTGGCCTGAAGACAAAAAGATATAAAAGCAAATATTATAGGAATAGAGAATAATATTTTCTATTTAAAATTCCAAAAAATTCCTCATCTTGTTATTCTCGCAAATCATCTGATGAACTATGCTGAATGATAGTACCCCTTTTATTCTGCACACAAAGCAACTGTAATATGAAGTCCTGGGATGTGCCTCCATTGACGTAGCCATAGCTGTACATAGGAAGAGTTATACATCAGACCTGAAATCTCATATTATTTGCAACATTCTACTCTGCTTTTAGTCATAATGGTTCAAAATCAAACATGGAATATGAAAATATTTTTGAGTTTTTTCGTGGCTTAAAAAAATACCCTAGTGCAGAGAGTTTGCACTTCTTCATTTTGACCAATTAAAAAATTGTGACTCCTTACAACTTCATTAAAAAATGAAACAAGCCTCTTCACTCAGACAATAGATTCTTCAAATTAAATGCACTGGCATATTTTTCTCCAAAACTATGTCTTATATCTAATGAGTTTGGGGCTCTGTGACATTTTACACAGATCCTCATCAATGTTTCCGTGCCTAGTTCCGTAAGCTTGTCAACATTTTTGGATGGTGACAATGTAAAATGTCGTAAATCCTAACATAAGCAAAGGAAAGCTGATGAATTAAATCTGACAAAACAGAGACGTCCACTAAAAAGAATATTAGCGTTCATTTTGTTGTTTTTTGGCACAAAATATGTTTTTCCTTTTTTACTGTGCATTGGGAATCCCAGGTACTTTAGTGATTATTAATGGGAGCCCTGGATCACCAGAGGTAGGGACTCAAACTGTAGTCCAAGAGTGGCATTCTTCATTCCCTTTTCCAACACTGACTTCATATGGCATCATCTCCATTCCACAAAAGAGGTGACGTCCCCTTCACAACAAACAGACTGGCATGATAGACTCTGCAAAGGTTTTCTGGGTGGGTTTATTTATTTTCTATGTTAAAATTCAATAATTATATTTCTTATTTACCTGGGAAGAAAGAATCTCATAGTTCACCTTCCATAGTTGTTATTCTAGCACAAAGGGGAGGAAATTTACTACGCAAATGATGGTTGAGAAACAATCCATTCTATACAAAGACTATAGATTTATAATTCATTTTTGAATACATAGGTGGGTACATATACTTATATAATAAAATAAATATTTACTCTGCTTATAATGTGTGAGCTATTGTTCTGGTTTTTCTTTTTTAAACATGTATGAACTCATTAAGTCATTACAACAATGTTACAAAGGAGGCACCGTTATCCAAATTTTAAAGATGAGGGAATAAGGCCTTTCTATTTTAAATTCCAATAAATTCCTCATCTTGTTATTCTCACAAAATATCTGATGAACTATGCTGAATGATATTATCCCTTTTATTCTACACACAAGGCAACTATAATATGAGGTCCTGGGATGTGCCTTTACATAGCCACAACTGTACATGGGAGGAGTTATGCCTCAGACCTGAAGTCTCACATCATTTGCAACGTTGAGAGGTTAAGAAGCTTGTGCATGGTTCCATAAAGTGAGTGAATGGCAGAGTTGAAATTCAAATCCTAGCAGGCTGGCCCTATAGAGTTTACACTCTAATCTAAGATTTTAAAAACATATACTGGAGAGTGCTGAAGTATCCTAAAGCTCTGGAATATTCTTAATAAAAAGAAGAGTGGAAAGAATATCTGAAGTCTAAGCTGTTAAAACTGAGCCAACTTACTATTAAAATTGTTGATAAAAACATGATTTGAAGAGCAACGTTTCCAAATTGTTGAAATTTTAAACATTTTTAATGAAATTTTAAACATGCAAGCTATGACACCAATATCTGGAGCCTTTGAAATAGATGTTAGTTACAGAAATTCTGCATCTAATAAACTTTGCTTTCCTATTTTATTTTTCTTTGAACTGAAACTATGAATGTTATCACTGTAGAAGTTATTAAAAATAAAACTCCATATGTGACATAGCAGAGATTTTACAGGATATCTGAAGTATGGGTCAAGAGGAAATTTTTCACAGACTCACTTACATCTTTCAAAGGAATAGACAATATTTTAATGCTGCTCTGATTCCCTCTGAAAAACACTTTCATAGTGAATGCTTTGATGCCATCATAGGCTGAGAGACCTTTTCATATATATGAGTGATTTCCAACAGGAAGCTGAATCATCCATTTACATCCTAGTTTTCTGTTTAGACTTAAATTTGGGATGCTAATTATTTAAGGCAAAAGGTGAGCCAGGATTACTGGCCCATAATGACCCTTAAAATGCCATGTGTGTGTCAGAGAGGACTTTGAGGAAGTCAGGTCATATGTAGCTACTCTAATAAGGGTTCTAAGGTTTTTTAAAAACAATTTCACAGGCTACCTTTATATATTGAGCTTAAGATAAGAAGCAGAAAAAAAAAATCCACATGATGATTATAGGGATTAACATGTTTCTTAAATATTATTATGTAATATTATTATATATTAAGTGGATAGATTTGTGTCATGAAGAAAAAGAGGGCAAATGCACTTTAGTAATTATATGACAATTACTTTCAATTCCTGCTCTTCTCTTGATATTCCAGTGACTAACCCCAAGAAAGCCTATTTGAACTGCTCGATCACAAAATAAACTACAGAGTCCAGGAGTTGGGGAAAGGGTGAAGGAGGGGGCCAAGAAGGCTTATCAGGCTGTAGGCTGTCTCCCCTTCCCACTAGCAGATTGAATGAGCCTTAAAGCTAAGAGATAGCTCTAAGAATTGCCAGTATTTTAAAGAGAAGCAAGGCTTGAGCTCTATTTCCTCACCTCCCACCAACAGGAAATGTGGTACTGGCATTCTCTACCAGGCTAGCCAGACTTTCCCACTCCACCCTTTTCAGGTTTTCACTGCTTTCTTGCTTTAAGCTGTGGTTTGGATTGTTAAGTACATTTTTTTGGACGCGTTGCCTGGGATGTTTGAGGAAAGGAAGACAAATGAATAGAAACAGCTACTTAATATTTCCATGATCATTTCCCTGGATTTTCTCACAAATTCTTTGTCCTTCTTAAGTTGGGACGAGGTTTCTTTGCTTACCACAATCTTCATTCTCACTTTTCCAGGAATAACTACATTTGCAACGTTCAGAACTGCAACAGAGTTCTAGATAACCTTCTCCTTTATTACAGGAAAGAGCCTCTAAAATTTCTTTGTCACCAAGGACCGAACTCAGGCCTTCTGACGTTCATTTATTCAATGGCTCATTCATTTTTTTTCTTATTTATCAATGACATCTTTTCAAAAATAAATCATTCATGTGATTTATCACATTTATTAAGGTAATCCAATAAATTACATTTATTAATTATTAAAAATCCATTTATTGACAAATAAACCATATAATTTCAACCTCCAGGAACTCACATTCTCTTGTCAGAGGCAAACATATCTACCAGGAGTTGCCAAACATTTTCTGTAAAGGACCAGATAGTAACTTTTTAAGGCTTTCCAAGCCATATAGTTCCTTTGGGAACTAGTCAGTACTGCCAGTGTGGCTCAAACACAGCCATAGAAAATATGTAATCAAATGAGCCTGGCTGTATTCTTATAAAACTTTATTTATAAAAACAGGAGCAATGCTGGATTTGGCCCAAAAGCCATAACTAGCTGACCTCTGATATAAACAAAAGATAATTGCATCTGTTATGTTAGGGGCTTCACTGAGGTAATTCCACATTAGATAGTTAATGGAGGACAGAGGAGGTGGAATTCAGTAAACTGACATGGGTCACTGGGCAGGGAGACAGTCCAGATCTACATAATACATGCACAGTGTAGTAAGGACACACAGAGAATGCAGTCTTGGTAAATGGCAGGTGGGGTGACACAGTGGACTTTAAGGTCTGGCACATTTTGAGGTATGAAGTAAGTCTGCAGAGCCCTAGAGTTTGTGGACTTTGTATATTATACCAAATTTGGAGCTGAAATTCTAAACATGGTAGGTCCTATTGATAATGGGATTTTCTGGAGCTCAGAAATATGATTAATATGCATTTCAAAAGATCATTCTGTCTCCAGTGAGCAAAGGGAATTAGCAGGAAATAGTGCTAATGAAGGTAATACAGACAAAGGTAGGACTCCTCAGAGCTTTTGTCACAGATTAGGCAAAGGAGAAGTAGGGCTTGAAGTGAAACAATATTAGAGGGAAAGGAGTAAGAGACAGCATCAACGTGCAGTCATGGATACAGGAGGTCCAAGAGGGTGACTGAAAGGTTTTGGCTGAGGTGTTATGAACCAAGTGAGGTAGGGAGTTCAGTGAAGGCTCAGAGAGTCCGAAACACATGAGAGAAACCAGTGCTTAAGAGACAGACACGAGTTCATTATGTATTCTCCTATTTCACTGGATCACAAAACACAGACACAGACACAGACACACACACACACAGACACACACACACACTGACACTCACATCCATAAGTGACTAGGAATGGGGCCCTTTCTTAAGGCATTCCCTGTTGTCCTCATCCTGTTTTATTTTTTCCATAGCATTTATTAACTGCTGATATTATACAGTTGATTTTTTAAAAAGTTTATTATTCATCTTGCATTTCCCCCACTATAATGTAAGGTCTAGAAGGGCAGGAATTTTTATCCACTTTGCCTACCGATGCTTCCCAAGTAAGTAAACTAGTACCTGCCACATAGTAAGTGTTCAATATACTGCATGAATAAATAAATCTAAAATTTTGTATATAGCTGACATTTTGAGCATTGACTCTGAAATCTTTATTTAACTGTTGCCTCTGTAACATCCCAACATCATTCAGCATTTCATTTAGGAAAATGATCATTTCTATTTAGTATTTGAAATAAAGCAGTTTCACTGCCAGGGATTCTATTTTTAAATTTAAAAAGCTATGTTTGTTTTGTGATAACAGTGAGCTCTCCAGACAGACAGCTCAGGAACTTTGTGATTTTTCAGTCTTGCCGTAGCAACTAGCATTTGCGACCTATGCATTTTCCTGCCATTGTTTCCCATGGGCTAGTTTGCTCTATCTAGGTCATGAATTTTTTTGGATTCGGAAGCGGCTTATTTTTCTGCATGTGCACGTGTGTGTGATACTTGGGAAGAACATATCCAAGATGCTCAAGAAGCACTTTCACATGCCTTGATTAATGAAGAAGTTGAAATCTACAGTCATGAATATACACATGTAATGAAGTGGTTATAAAATAGCATATTCCAGATTCACCCACGAGAAAATGTTCTTATGCCAGAGGCTTTTTCATGAACGTCTGTGCTGTGATTTAGACGGAATTCCCCTGGATGCACAAACACACCCTGGTTTAATTCCTGAATCAAGTGGATTTATTCCTTATGAAAACCTCCCAAGTTTTGGGTCTTTCATGGGCTGGCTTTGTTTCACAGGTATGAAAACAGGAAGTTAGCAATACCCAGTACAAATTTGTTGCCAAATTTGTACAGCATCGGCTAAATGTGGTCAACATTTATTTTTAAAATCACTCCTTGTTATGTAAGTAAATTAAGTGATATTCTTATCTGATGATATATTCCTGAATACTATGGAACAAGTTCACTGAATTTGAATTATAAGATGGTTTTGGTTGAAGATTTTTTTTTTTTTTACACTGTAAGCTAGATGTTACCGTCTTAGAGGGAAAAACACCTAATTGTGAAAAATCCTGAAGCTTGGCTCACTTAACTTATACCTTATTTAAGCCCCTTTAAGCTGGGTGTCAAATTCATTTGTGATTTCTCTGTGAATATATTAAAGTTCACTGAATAATAATTACTTTAAAATCACAAACATAAGATTGAGATTCATTTTAATTAGAGGAAGGAAAACGTTCTTTGTTAACAAGCTACCTAGATTTCGTCTTTTATTTCAACACATTTTCCTGCAAATGGAGATGCGAACTATGTTGAATTCATAACAAGAACAAACAAACATAACCTACAAATTATGAGTAATTGCTGTGTTCAGCAGGTTTCTCGAATGAACACTTTTTCTTTGGTAGTATTTGTTAACTAGCTATGTTTCTTAATCTTCATAAATGCCACAATGATTAACTCCTTTGAATCATTTGCTAAATCAGCAAGTCTCTCTTTCTCGGTTAAAGTGCTCCCTCTGGTGGTTACTACAATGCAACTGCTCCAATCAACTGCATTTGTGTGTAAACAGCATGGTTCAACAGCACAGCTGAATGGAGTCTTTCTCAAGGAACTAAATAAATTTCACCTTTAAGTTAGACTTTTTAAGCAGAGAAAGTGGTGTCGTTGAGGAAGATGAAGAAGAAATATTTGGAATTCCCTTAAGGATCTACAAAACAAGCAAGGTAATTACCTCCCTCCACTGCTGACAGCTTCGCCTCCTCTCTGATAAGTTACTAGAACGTTACAAAAAAAAGAGAACAATTAATAGACATGTTTATATATCAAAAGCTATTACATTCATGAGCATCTTTCTAAAATAGAATTCCTTCTCCCTTGCTACCTAGAAGCATTGAAAAAAAATCACACGATGTAGCAGATTTCTTATTCAACTAGTAATGTTGCTTTAAATATTGTATAGAATTAAATATATATCTTTCTATATATAACTCTTATTTTCTTCATATTCCAATAAGGTTGCGAATCAAGAAAAAGCAAAACATCAGTACACACTTATTAAATATAACTATTACACATCTGCACATTAGCATTCCCATGGATTTCCATTTTGAATTTATTCGTAAATTACATAATTTTATGATTTTATGTAAGTGTAAACTTAAACTCAGGAAAAAAAAAACTACTAACTTATTTTCCCAGAAGTATGAGAACCAGTAAATCAATGTTAAAATAAACCTTTCCACACACAAAGATGTATGCCAAATTGTGACTATTAATTCATGTGACCTATCTTTCATTGTGGCTTGTGCAAACTATTTCTCATTATATTTTCATCAGACATGTATAGGTAATCAAAACATATTATAATGCTCTTGAAAGCATTCTCAGCTTAATGAATTTGGGGTGTAAAAATTTAACCATAACAAGAACAACAAAAAAGATTTGCACACAGTTAGGCTAAGTGGTTAAGAAGATTAGCTTTTCTGTAAATACGGACACATTTTCTATGAAGAATTGTGTTTTTAAAGCTGCCAAATTCTGCTACTTAGAAGAACTCCAAACTGAAAGTCTGCTATAGAGAGATAACTGCTCCCAGTGATTACAATAACTGGATTAAAACTGAGAGGGCATAACTACAGGTACGTCTTTTCCCAGAGGTGATGTGACAGAACAGGACCCATTTTGAAAGAAATGGAATAGAACAGAATATTAGGATTCTGACTTAGGGAAAATGAAAAGTTTTATCTTTCACATGGGCTGGATATTTGGGTTACCTTTAACAATACTGATTCTAGGGACAGAGAGTTACAAGGGAGAGAAATTTTTTGTTGGAAAACTCGAAAGCTTAAGTTGAAAATGCACTGCCAAGTCTGAAATAGTCAATAAGATCATTAGCATGTTAAATCATGCTGAAGGTAGAGACAGTGTGTCTACTTAATGAAACACATGCAAACAAGGCTAAGATCCAGTGTGGAACTGTGAATAAATAATTGCATTGAATGGATGAAAAGCAACACCAACCATTTCTACTTCAAATGCATGCCTGGTGTGAGTAAACGAAGTATAACACTAAGTTCTTTCCCCAACTTACTGCAGAAAATGACATAAAAACAGAAACACAATAGTAGAACACATGCCAAACTAACAATGGAAAAGAGGTGGGTAAGAGTGCAAATATATACCTGTTGGTGTGAAGGTAAAAGACGGGACTGAAAAATGAAAACAAAATATAAACCAGTTATTAAGCTGAAGAGAGAAAGGGAACATATCACATTAGTATAAATCAAGCAGACAGCTGAACATAAAACAAATGTAAATAACTAAGCCCGTAGTTGTGACACTCTGATATATGAATAAAACCATCTCTGAGGTTAAAAAAAAAGAGCTTGTCTCTACAGGTACCATTTTGAAATGTCTGACATTCTAGCACGCTCAGGAGGGGAATTGTGCTGGGTTAGCCTGTGAATAACCCTGCATTTAGCAACACAGACTTAGCTCATGGTTTTAGTACAAACAGGAATCCTCCACTATTAATCACCTCCAAGCACAGGATGATGGATTCTTAAACACGTATTATCAGAGTCTTGCTGGAACCTTATCTAGAAATCTAAAAGTAAATGCTTATTAAAGTGAACTACTAGATGCACTTACGTATTCAACATTGAGAGAAAGAAAGAGAGAGAAAGAAGGAAAAGAAGGAAAGGCGAGGAAAGGGGAAGAAGAAACAAACAAAACAGAAGGAAAGGAAAAGATGACCCGAATAAAAGAGAACCGTAAAACTTAACTGTTTACTAAGCGGAAATGCCTGACATTTTATCATATAAATGACATTTTTATCATCATAAAAAGTTGAGAATGGACAGAAAAAAGTCGAGTTTTAAATTAGAATTTCTTTATCTGAGTTTACTTTTAGAAGCTTCCTAGAAGTAGGCTGGACATTCTTTTAATACCACAGTAGAAGCTAAACAATAGAACAATAACACCTCTCTGAAAACCTTCACACTCTCTGCAGTTATAAATCTTAATCTAATCAATAATGCCTGAAATTGAACTGCAGACCTTAAAAGTAGCAGCCATTCCTCCCCCACTTTTCCTATCTTCTCTCATTCCTGGGGGGTTGGATAATGCCAGAGCAATTTCCATGTCATTTCACAGAGGGAGGAGATTGACTTATTTCCAATCTCTTCATGTTAAAGTAAAGTAAACGCTGCTCTGGTTAAAAAAAGCAATGAAATATGTTATTCCCTCTAAGATTAAAGTTTCTTTAAAATAATCTTTAGTATAACAAACTAGAAAATTGATTACTTATCATGTATCAAAACACTTCCAGAAATATGTTTTCTATTTCACCTTTGAACATCTCCAAGAAATTTACAGGAGAATCGGAGCATTTGGGGTTGCAAACTGAAACACTATAGCATCCTCTACAATTGTTACTTCTTCCCAAGCCACTTTATCTCCGAGCATACTAGAAAGAACAAAAGCAATGCTGTGTCCCCAATTTACACCCTGGCCTTCGTTTGCAGCACAGCAATCCCCGTCTTAAGAATCCTATTGTGTTTTCTTTCAGTCAGGTCTTTTCAGAGAGTCAGTGTAATTTAGCTACATTCAAAAATTCAGAGCCATAGTAACAAGTCTTCATTAAAAAAATAAAAAATGAAAGGTGCATTTGAAACTAAAGCTATTCAAGCAAGAATGGAGTGCCTGAACATTAATTTGCAATCACAAGGACACCAGGAAAATATGAAAGGTCCTTGTCATTACTTCTTCTAGCTAACTGCTAACCCCACTTTGAGGAATTGAAGAAGAGATGAAAAGGAGGTCAATCTAAATGAAATTTTCACTGCTAGCACACCAAATAACAACTTAATTTCCAAAGCTTCCAATAATATAATAAACTCTCTGTGTACCTAAGTGATGCTGGTGCAATATGTGAATGCGTGTGGACAGGAGGTGCCCAGTGAACTGGCAGATATCACACGGACACACCGATTGCTAAATGTAAAGGGGAAATGTTAAATGTGCTCATGATTCCCCCACAGTTACACTCTGCCTTGATGTTTTATAGGTTAATAGTCTCTTTTACAAGTTTTATTCTTTAAAATATTTCACTTTCTATTTTTCTTAAAATGACCCAGCACTGATTTTGGCATGGAAAATTTAAGATCTCAAAATGCACTTAAAAAAATTGCATAGAAAAAAAATTATGAAAAAGGGTCAACAGAACAAAGTGAAGAAAGCAGAATCAAATGCTCATCAAATTACATTTGTAATTATGTTCTATGATTTCTGCTTAAATGCAAGCTAAACTGAAGGGGCAATGGTATTAGTTTAATAAGTTTTGCACAAAGAGCACATAGGCATTTGTCAGCATGCTCAAAGTACGTTAGTAAAGGAAAAGAAACATTTCAGTAGGAAGGAGAGCTGCATGTTACATTATTATATTTCAAGACAACGTAGAGCATTAAATTATTACAATCACGTAGCTACGGCACTTCATTGTGATAAGAAACACAGGATTCCACTGACTGGCTATTTGCAAAACACAGTTGATGATGGAAGTCTTTTGAGGAAGAATTCAAGAGACTCCATATCTGTATGTTAATTAGTCATTCTTTTCCTCATTCAAATCAGATTTCCAAACATCATCTACCCCCAACGTCATACCCCTTCCTGTCTCCACCGCACAAAAACACCCCAAAACCCCTTGTCTACAATCATTTTTAGTCAAAGGTTTTATATGGTAACATGTGCCTGAGAGTCTTCTATTTTGTGTACATAATGAGCACCAGCTCTCTTTTCAGTAACCTCCAAGCCCTCATTTTCCATCGCACAGGCGGGAGTATTGACATACCGCTTCATCCCTAGATAGGACACATATCTGAAAAAAACATATTTAAGGATGATAATGCTAAAGCAAATGTATGTACATGAAGAGATGGCTGCTGAGCCACAGGCAGGTGGCAAGGAGACTTATTTTTATAGTATTAGGGATGCATTCGTGTTGACTCTTTCTTGCTAAGTCTCCTTGTGACGGAGAACACAGATATCTTAGACTGCTGTCCCACACTGTTCTATCTATGCATAGGGACATTCAAATTCCAGCTAAAATGAAAAATTCTGACTTTGCCATACAATCGATCAGAGAAACAATCTGGCCAACATGTGTAGGAAACGTCCATTTATGTAGACAATTAGGGAGGAAAAAATTGGTGATGGTAGGGCAGAAGACTCTCTTACTGGAAATCCTCTTTAAATGTGCTTTGCAGCAAAGAAAAGCTGTTGCATTCGACTGAAGGATGGGTCCTATAATTTGTATAATTTGCCATTTAAGTCAGTACAATTCTGACAGCAAGAAGGAGCACTAGAAATGATCTTGTTGGACTAATGACATGAACTGGACTGTTCCTGAAAACTGGGATTTATAGCCATCTCCCCTACAGGCCAGATGTGAGGCCCAGAGTTGAGGACCATATTTAGGGGACAGGGAGGTTTGTCTGTCTGACACTGTTAACAATCTCCTCTGCGAATAAAATACACAAAAATATCAGCAGTCTTCAGAGTTTAAGGATAAGCAGCAAAAGTAGCTGCGAAAACTTTGGCATATCTGGGTCATCTTTAAAATTCTAAATAATAATAGTGGCCAAGCAAGCTGTCTTTTTTAAAATTGTAAACACATTTGTAACAAAATCGCCAACACTAAGTAGCAGCATACACACATTCAATTTTGTAACTTTAACTATAATAATAAAAATGGACTAACCCTCTTATCTCTGTAAGCAAAAGTACATCACTCCGTCATGCCTTCCATATCCACCAAGAAAGGAGTGTTTTATAAATAATCAAATGGCAGTATTCTCTCTTGCGCTTCACAAAGGGTAACAAAGTCTCCCCTGAAACCGGGTGAGACAGCTCAAAGCTTTCATTTGTAATTCCTACAACAAGGACATTAAAAATTTCCCTCAAGAATGTAAAGCAATAACATAATTCCCTAAGACAGAAGGAAAATGGTGTCACAGCCAAAGTTAGACACACCTTGGTGAAATCTGTTCTAAATGAACTGGGCCCTCTATATATGAAGGTAACCTTTAGAGGCTATGCATAACCATGAATAATTTGGAATCAAATAGAAAATCAAGAGTTTTATAAACGTTTAAATAAGAAAATCCTGGGAGAAGCCAATACCTTTTCTGATACCCGCGTAAGTGCTAGTAAGTCCGTTCCTCTTCTTGCGGTGTCGATAGAGCCAGACGCTGAAGAGCATGAGGATCACCCAACAGGCTGCTCCGATTCCGGCTATGAAGGCGGGCTGCTTCACCACATCTGAGATCTGCTGGGCGAGGCTGACTTGGTCCTCAGGTGACACAGGGTTTCCATGGGAATCTGAAAAGCCGTCTTCCGATTAATGTGGGTTTAAGACTCAATGCCATAATGCACACACTCCTTTGTAACTCATTTGTGGCTGTCGTTATTTTGTTGATTTCTGGATGATGATTTCTGTTTTTCGTCCCACAACCCCTCACCATCATCAAATAAAATAGTTCATACTGTTTTCAGCAAAATTGCACAATTTATTTATTTTAACTCAAAGCAAGTGCAACATAATTTTACAGGATCATGCTTTAAAAAAAAAAAGCAATGGCATGCTGTTTCTCTTGTCAATCCAAAAAGCTCTGCAGGTTACTGCTTAGATTAAGTCACACAGGGCAGTGCTAGCTAACTGAGAAAACTACAAAAACATAACACTAAAAAATGAAATACTTTAATACAAGTACAAATAATACATGTACAAACAAGGAATATTTAATAAGTGTGTACAGACAAGACAGAAACTTGTTCAGACTTCTACAGGCATCCTTAAATAGTATGCTCTAAATAATAAAATAAAAACAATTTTATTTTCTCTCTATGCTAGATATGGAAAAGTCTCTATGTGTGAGCATGTGTGTGTACCCCCAATGCTAACACTACATTGTAAGACATTTAATTGTCTTAGAAACACATTATCTAACGTAAGTTCAGAAAGACCTATAAAATTCAGGATCAATAACACCCAATGAAAAATTAAGATAAATGTTACCATTGAAAGAGTCATGAATAATCTCTCCATTAAAAATAATCATGGTGCACAATAGATATAATAAAATAATGTTAACTACATAAAAGATTTATAATATCAAGGGTTATAAATAGTCAAAAGGGCTCATATTTTCTGCTGGCCATCTTGATTCAATAATTAATAATTAATGGAATATATGCCCAATAAAATTTACTTAATTTACATTTATGTTTTAATCCTACTGAGTTTTTTCAAGCCCACCATAACACCAAGTCACACAAGGGGTCTGCAAAGGTTTTGTAGAAAACTGGAGGCTGTATCATCAAAGGAGTATCCAAGTTGTTGGCATTGACTGTTATCAACCCTGAGGATGCCCGTTGCGCAGAATTCCCATCTCTGTCTGCAATTTTGATGTTCTTCTCCCACCATATCTAGTGAAACAATAAGGTGCTGGCCCACTTCATTAGGATTGGTGCTTTCTTACAACTATTAAATCATTTGCCTCTGATATATATTCTTGTCGTGAGTTCTCATCATATTATGTGGCCTCAGCATTGATTTTGAATCTAAGTTTAACCTCATACCAGAATCTGGGTTTTTTCATCCTTGACAATTTCAAGTTCCCTGCCTCCTTCCAGTTCCTCAACATGGTCGGTCCAGATATCTGCCTTATGCAGCTGCCTTATAGTGACCACCTACCTATAGGATATGTAGATACAACTTACTTGACTCACCCCAGTGACCCCACACCTCACATGGACTGTGTAGACATGCCACAGTGATCATGCTCAGAAAGTGTGACCCAATGGAAATTGTGCCATTTGCACTAAGAACCCACCAGTTGGAACTTCCCAAAGGAAACCTGCTTAAGTAATGTCTTCAACAACAAGAAGTCCTCCAACCCTAGGTCTTCCTGCTCTGGATCCCCACCTGCTGGTTAAGCACATTGCCCTGGAGGCCTGCTCATCGGCCTTTGTCGGTACACCCTCTGTCTCACGGATCTGTGAGTAATAAACTGCTTCAGTGATTTCATGTGCTTCTGTTGCGCTGCCTCCCCTGAGTCCCATTTAAGCAGCACACTGCGAGGTTTTAACTTTCTTCCCAGCCAAGGCTCTCCTAGAAGGGTGCATATTGACAGGAATAAGCTGGACACAGGTCAGATAGGAGCCACAGGGACATCTTCCAGTATAAATAAGTTTGCTGTGCAAGGGATACCTGGTCATGGGTTGAACACTAAGGCATTATGCTGTCTGTCAAGATTAAGAAGCATCCTGTGAAAGGCACAAAGTGAACACCCACAACCAAATTCTCCAAAGCCCTGTCAGGGCAGGACTAGAGATTATAGCCACTCTGCAAAGAGAGACCTTAAGAGCAAATTAGACAGATATACAGCAATTCTGCTAATACAATCTGCTTTAAGACAGAAACATGTTTCAGTCCGAAAATACATTTTTTTCCAGAAAAATAATTGATATAACTCATTACATATGAATAACATTTTTTATGGATTCTTCTTTCAATGGATTTTTTTTTAATTAAATGACACTGCAAATTGATAAGAAAACTGGAAGGAGAACTAAGCAGTGTCCAACGATTAAGGGACAGCCTTTAGGAAAACAGCACCCCTTTCAAGGCAAAATGGCTAAATTCCTTCTCATGTTGTACGAGAGTGTGTGGTTTTGCAGTTCGCTTTTTTCTTGAACAGAATTCCAGATCTCATCCCACAGAGGGTCAAGGCTGAAAAACCTATTTTCACAAGCAGTTAGCTGCTTTTCTCTGTTTGCTGAATGAAAGGTTTTTTTTTTTTTTTTTTTTTTTTTCATGTTCCAGACTCTTTTATTACCTCCAGTTATCCTAAGAGCACTTCATCCTCTTAAAGTTCATCAGGCAGACCTATTCTTCTTATTCCTAATACATTCTTTGTATCTGCTAGGTTTATAGATTTCATGGCTATTTGTGCAAGGTTAAGTTGGGTAGCCTCAGATAACATGGAAACAGCCAAGAGAGGTCCTATGCAAGCAAGCAGATGCACCTGACAGACTCCAGTGTGGTATGACTAATGAATTAAAACAGCCATTCTCTACCTCAATCTTTGTCTCACTGCAGCTGAGCCTATATTAAGATATGGAAAAATGGAACATATTTGTAATTTCAATGAAACCAATTTGGTCCTTAAGCCCCCGTGATTTAAATCTTAAATAAATAAAATGACCCATAGTCATTTTCCCAATTTATCTTTCAAAAAATACAACTAAAATATCTTTGGTCATAAAAATAGATAAACAACAACAACATATTGAATCATTACACAGTTAACTTATCACTTCAATTTTAATTAATACTGAAAATATTAGAATATCAACTATTTTCTCAATATAAACTGTTTTCCTCCACCTTATATAAATGTGCAACAGATGCATGAAGCAACTTACTTTGTTATAGTTTCCTGTGTTGCTGGAAACAAACCAGGAGATATTTTTGTTTACAAGTTTTATTTCTCTATATAGTCATCTTTTAAAACATTATTTTATTTTAACAGTTTTTGGAGAACAGGACGTTTTTCGTTACATGGGTAAGTTCTTTAGTGGTAACCCAAGTGCAAAAGTCAAATTTTAGCCTGTGACTGTGATAGAGACAGCAAGTTTCTCCCTACAGGGACTCTCACATAATAGAGCTGTTGGGGGGAGGTTTCCTAGCTAATGGCTTGGTTTTGTAGTGAGCCCCATTCACCTGCTGCAGTCACACTGGCGAGGAGTGATGTGCACTGTGTCTAGACCTGCACCATGAAACCCTCCCATAGATTCGTGTTTCTTTCCTCCTCTTTCTGCAGGTCCAGGGTCCATTTCAGAAGCCCTGTGATAAAGAGGCTAACTCATCCACCTCTGATCCTCAATGTCTGTGTGGAACAGAGTCCCCACCCCATTGGTAGACTTTATTGTATTATAGGACAGAAATTCTGCAAATGTATCTATGACTGCAACTCGCATTGTCTAAATAATGGAACACTAATAATGGTCTTCAAAATAAATGAGAAGTTGAAAGTTCTTTATATATAGCAACGAAGTTTATGAAAACCAAGTATTTCTTAATTTTGTTTTGAAATAATTTCCAGGATGTCATCAATATTACTAACATGCATAAATAGTATGTGACTGAATTATAAAGCTTCATACATATAATCCTTTTTGACGATTTAATAACTGGACTGTAATGTTAGTATCATATACTAATATTTTACCACTAATAAAATGCTACTACTGCTTAACTTCTGATCTGGAAGACAGACATAAAGGTGCTATACACTTCTTGACATCATTCATCATTTAAATGCGGCTTCTTAATATTTGAACCTTTCTTCTTGCTTTTCAGTTAAAATGGCATCTTGTAATTGCTTTGCTACCGTTTGTTTTAGATTTTCCTAGTATGCACTTACTAATGTGTACTTTATGCTCACGCCATATTGCCTAGGATGAACTGTGGCAATGATGCTTTCGATGTCAGGTTTTTAAAATTCATCTAAACACATTAGAGGCACAAATTGTATGTAACTTTCTATGCAATCAGCATATAAACCTGTTTCAGTGCTCTTTGACATCACAATCTTTCTTTTGTTATAATAAGCAATTGCAATTTTAAATAGATACTACATGTGAATATAGACTGTTCATTGCTATAAACTTCCAATACCTAGTTTAAGTTTTAAACAGAAGTTTGCTTGTTTGTCTGATTTTTAAATCCAAACAACTGAAGTTCCATGAAGGTGCAGGATGTCTTTCATGTTCACGGACTTATCCATGGTGCTCAGTTAACAGTATTTGTTGAATAGATAAAAAATTATATAGGACAGGATTAGGGTAACATTGAATACTGAAAGCCTCTTGCTTGAAATATAAAAAATGTATGCTTGGATATGTCCAAGTTTAGTTGAGATATCTATGTCTATATATCTACATCTATTCTCTCTCTCTCTCTCTCTCTCTCTCTCTCTCTCTCTTTCCCTATCTATCGACTATATTTTAAGTACAGTTAACACCTTTTTGTAGCTCTAAGCCATATTCCATATTCTATTGAACTACCCATGGTGGGTGGCTCAACCAAATGCAAACAGGCAAAGCGGGACCAATGGTAGAGTGATAGATTTTCAAACTAGATCTGTACTGACACTCACCTAACTGGATGAACTGAGGCTCACTCTTCACCCCAGGCCCAGCCCCAGTGCTGGCTGCCACTTCCACACTGTATCGGATTCCAGGAACAAGAAAGGGAATGACCACAGAAAAGGTGGAACCATCCACGGTTTTGTTTATGTGGTATCGAGTTTCATTGCCCAGACACCAAACCTGTAAGAAGTACGTAACAAAAATCAAGCTGGTAAATTACCTAAATTAATGCAAAGATCAACAGAGGATTGCAGTTTTAGACCTAGACAGAGTGCAAAACTGTCATGCACTACCATAAGAAGTCTCAGAAGTCATTTTCCCATAGAATCTAGTTCTATCAACAATCTTCTAGGCAAATTTAATGTTAAAAGTAGTTTCAACATGTCTTTATTACTTTCTCATATACTTTTAAAAGGTTATATCAGGTAAGTCTACAAATTTGTGCTTGGCGGAACTAGTTTCTACCAGCTCACTTCATTAAGATTTTTTTTTTTTAACATCAAGACGTTATTTGCCAGATAAATAAGTACCTCACAGATAGCTGTGTCTATATAGATAAAGAACAATAATCATTCAACATTTGCATTCTAGGCATGACACAGAGGACCAGATATTGTAAAACAAAAGTGAGTAGGAAACTCCAAGTCTAGTACTTTACTTCAACAGTTCTCTGGGATCAACCTGCCCAGCTGATTTTTGTATTTTTAGTAGAGAAGGGGTTTCACAATGTTGGCCAGCCTGGCCTTGAATTCCTAACCTCAGATGATCTGCCCGCCTTAGCCTCTCAAAGTGCTGGGACTACAGGCGTGAGCCACCATGCCTGGCCAACATACGCCATATACTTTATGATGTCCTCAAGCAATATATACCATTAACTTTAAGTAGACAATTGTCTAAACTGTAATAGGAAGTGAGATTTAAAAGAAATTTAAGCATACCAGTGTCTTCCATCATTTACACAATACCCTTCTTTTTTTTCTTTGAAGGTTAATATTGTTTTAATATAATTTTAATACATAACACCAAGAAATGGTCGGATCCTACTCCAGGAGCTGACCATCTGGAAATAAAGCCTCTTTTGTGACTTTATTTTCTCCATTTACATTATGCAGCTGAACTGAAGCCACAAACTGATTTTGTACCGGTCAATCAGGTTCTGAAAGGCATTTTATTATTTTAAATTGACCATGAAGTTAAGTGAAATCCACCCTTTTGCATTTCTTCAGGAGAGAAATGAGTTCTGACTCTTAGGGGGAAACATCTACATTATACAATTGAGCTTGAGAGCTGAGACATCACCTCATTTTAAATCCTTAAAAATCTTCTATAGCATTCTATTGTTCTAGACTAGCACACAGTATCTTGTCACTCCCTTGTATTGAAACAACCTAGAGACTCTTAAGAAAGCATTTAAAAGTACAGAGACTTTAACCTTTTAAAGACTGAATTATGCTAGAAAATCTTATTTGAAATATCTTAAAACATCCACAGTGCACTGATGGCAGTCTTGTAAATACTTTAGAAACTACACTGTTAATATATACAAATTCCATAAAGAGGTTTCTCAATTTGTTTTAAAAAAATCTTTTGAAAATAAAATAAAATCAGGCTCAGGATACTTGTTTACAGATTAATTTGCTACTCGAAGAACATGTATGGCCTTATTTGGATCTTAACTAGGGATGCACATCAGAATCGCCAAAAGATTCACCAAAATATATGTGCAAGGGCCCCTGACAGACCAACTGAATCAGAAACTCACAATCAATGAATCAACAAGAAACTGTTTAAAAATAATTTTGCATGTTGCTACTTAGACCAGCAGATGGCGCCAAATACCCATAAATAAATACCAGCTCGCCTCTTCTTTGTGGATGGCGGGGGCTGTCCATCAGGATATTAATATACATATATTACCTTGTACTCTTGGACCATTCCATTCTGAGTGTCTTCTGGAGGTGGCTGCCAACTAACAAGAATTGCAGTTCCATTTCCATCATTCTTTGATACAGTTACACCTTGAGGTGGGGCACTGGGTGCTATTGTTTTAAAAGGTAGATTATTAGAATGTGCTAGAGAACATCGAAAGCAGGTATTATCAAAACCCAATAATAGATATATTAATATTATATTAATATGTTCAGGGTTTTTAAAAAATGGGGTTTTGCTCCTTTGTCCAGACTAGAGCGCAGTGGCGGGATCTCAGCTACTGCAACCTCCTCCTCCCGGGTTCAAGCAATTCTCCTGTCTCAGCGCCCCCAGTAGCTGGGATTATAGGTGCCCACCACCACGCCCAGCTGATTTTTGTATTTTTAGTAGAGACGGGGTTTCACCACCTTGGCTAGGCTGGTCTGGAACTCCTGACCTCAGGTGATCCGCCTGCCTCAACTTCCCAAAGTGCTGGGATTACAGGCATGAGCCACCGTGCCCAGTTGCATATGTTTTAAAGATGTATCTCATCCAAGTCTGAATAGTCCCAAATTAAATTGTTCCTCAGTCAATGCTAACTCATTGCCATTGTAACTTTTCCATAACCAAAGTTAAATACCTGATCTCCACTAGACATCCTAGGACAACTTCTTTTCCTTCTACCCTGTAACTCTGGTCTCATGTTCTCTCCAGAAATGCTCCAAAGTATACAATGAATGTTAATCATTCATGATAATTATTTATATAGCCAAAGTGACAAAGGCATGTTCGGGAAAATCCTGGTGTTATTTCATGTAATCTTTTACCTTTATGTAAATATTGTTTACTTTCTAGGTATAGGGTGGCCAGCTATAGTGGTTTGTCTAGAACTGAGGTGTTTTACACGTGATGAGATTTAAGAAGAAAATGGTAATCCCAGAAAGTCCTGGGCAAATCAACACATTATTCACCTTGCTTACAAATTATGGATCAAAATAAACAAATAGAAAATACTGAATGGAAAACAAACCAAACGGAAAACAATTTCATTTTTAAATGTGACAGTGCCAAATAATAAAATTCCCTCTATATGCCATTAAGTAATATAATGTTCACATTTGCACATTTCTATGTAGGCCGCTATTGAAGCAAGACAACTGTATAGCATTTTGCTTTTCTAGTTTTCTAAATAAACAAATACTTTTAGCAAGATGTATGTTCAATACCAAGAAAGTTAATATATTAATGCCACTATTAATATTATAACAATTTTAATTAAGCTAATAAAATCCTAACAAATATACCACAATGCATGGAAATCATACACTTCATCATACTTGCCTTCTTCTAGGGTTTTGGCAAACTTGATTTCACTATCTGCTCCTTGAAATTCATTAAAAAAAGGGCGAGCCTTAATTTCATAGTTGACTCCCTTTTTGAGATCAGGGATAACCACGCTATTTTTGGTTGGGGTCCTCACTTCAAAAACTAACCACTCTGATTCTCCGTGGCTGGCTCCAGATGGCCGATAGAGAATTTTATATCCTTGAATATACTGAGACTGTTGATCCACCTATTAAAAAGATAAATAAAATGTAATTATTCATATTATTCATTTGGTTCATTAGAAAATAATAAAAATGAAACATTATAAAATGCAAAACATTCTGTCTGTCTTCATCTCACATTCTTACACAAGAAATGTGTAGGAATTAGAAAGGAAAAAATAAAACTCATTATTTGTGGGCAACATGAGTGTGCTCGTAGAAAATCCGAAAGAATCTGCAGCTAAATATTCTACTTATTCAATAAGTAGAATACCGAAAAGAGTTCATTATTGTTTGTCAGGTGATAAGAGTTTTTTTTTTTTTTAATACATATTCTGCTTACGTAGGTGATACGAATTCCTATGGCATTAACTTCTATGCTTCGTGCAGAAATGTAAGGCCTCACTGCAGTTCTGATATTTCAGGTAAGACATTCCTGGGTCAAGGGGATGAGAAGGTAAAATGTTTGACTATTCTCTGATTTTAAAAGCCTTCTTCATACTACTTGGAAATATTTCTAAGCTAAAAAATTGGTGTAATAACGGTTCTATCACAAGTTACAAATCATAGTTAATACTACGTGTTTCCTTCCTGAGACAGGTCAAGTTCACTACTGCAGCACAAAAGGAAAAATTACGCTTAAGATGCAACTTTTCTCTGTTTAAAACCAAACTAATAGCTACTATAATCAACAGGGCTTACACTATAAAGTTATCATTGACATACAAATAGGCAACAGATAGTTACATTTTATATGCATTGCAATGATCTCACCAACGTCACCTGCTTATTAAAACTGAGATCAAATATTGTAACAATAACTCACTGTCCAGTGCACTTCGATGGAAGAGGAAGAAAGGATGGTGGGGTTGTGGAGGTGCAGGACAACATTTCCCAGTTCTCTCTGGACCTGCTTGTGGTCCACACCCTGACTTGTTGGTGGAACATCTACAATTCAAGAAAACTGTGTCAGGTTCTACACAATGTTACTGAACTGAATGAAGGCATGGTAAAACGAACCTTTCATTCATAGCAACTCTCAGTAAAGAGGAATCCAAGCCAGGCTGTGATACAGGGGAAAAAAAAAAAAAAAAAAAAAAGGAATCCTGTAACCTTTTTATTAAGATCTGGAAAGTAAGAGAGGAGAGAGATAAACAAGGAGACACACAGAGAGGGAATGCAGAGTCAATTTATCATAGAGAGTCAAAGAGAGCAGGAAGCAAAGACAATGGCAAATCGCAACATTTCGTGGCTCCTGCTACCACATAGTGATCACTTTCCTGATGAAAATGAGGGCACTATGCAGTCCCCTCTGAGTCTGTTAAAACCTTCTGTAGTGATCCTAAATACACAAGAAAGAAAAGTGAATGAAATTGCAGCAGAGTGACTAAGCAATGGAAAGAAAGGAGATACAGTTAGTGAAAAGCAAGAACAGAAAGACGTCAGATACTTTACATCTTTTAAGATGAACTTGGATATCTTCTCATATAAGGTACATGATAAGTTACTGGCTACAATGGAGGTGATACAGAAAGCCACCAAGAAAGTGAAATAAAATAAATCTGATTAGATTCATGAGGAAAAAGTAGGTAACATCTATTTAACTGATGATTTTTTTAGTTATTGTATCACAGTAAGGAAGGTTTAATTAAGATTTCTTAATCTCAAAAGCCCCCAAATATTTGAAAGTAAACCAAGAACACAGTAAGAATGAAATGGCTACTAATCTTAATTTATAAGTGTTTTGTTAAGCTTCTTAAAGTCTATACTCAAAAAAAAAGTTTTGCCCATTTCTGAAGGAGTTTTCTAAACACAGATGTTTTGCTTTGTTTATAACAGTAACAAGGAATACATGGGAGGAAGAGAAGAAAATATTATTTTTGGACTTCAGAATTCTCTTTCTCAAAGTATTGTATTCTGGCACCTATATTGCAGAACATTCCCCATTACATAAAAAAACTAAAGTGAGAATTTTAGTTTACTGAATCATTAAATACCTTCCAAGAACTGATCCTGGGCCGAAAGCACAAACATGAATATTAAGAATGAGATTGCTAAGTGTATCTGATGAAGTCCAGGGAAGCTAGGCAAGTGGGAGAGACGACATTGAGAGTGGTACCAGACACTCTGACATACTGTTCGGTTGTTTTTATACTTAACCTAGAAATTAAGCTGATAAATAAGCAAGAAGAAAAAAAAACCTGAGGTGATTCTGGCATCCCATACTTCATCTGACTTTACCAGTATTTTTGGCTAAGACGTACCCTCAGGATAACTATTATCACAGCCCCTACACTCGGTCATCGCCTTCCCCTCTCTTCCTTACCCCCTGGTCTCAACCGCTCCTATGACTAGGGTAAGAGTGGAATACTCGCAAGGAAACAGACTTGCGTTTGCACCCCACCTCGGCAACTTTAAAATGGCATGACATTGGGACAATTTCTTTCTTTCTTTTTTTTTTTTAGGAGTTTCGCTCTTGTTACCCAGGCTGGAGTGCAATGGTGCGATCTCTGCTCACTGCAACCTCCGCCTCCTGGGTTCAGGCAATTCTCCTGCCTCAGCCTCCTGAGTAGCTGGGATTACAGGCACGCACCACCATGCCCAGCTAGTTTTTTGTATTTTTAGTAGAGACGGGGTTTCACCATGTTGACCAGGATGGTCTCGATCTCTCGACCTCGTGATCCACCCGCCTCGGCCTCCCAAAATGCTGGGCTTACAGGCTTGAGCCACCGCGCCCGGCCTATTTCTTAACATCACTATTTTTCAGTTTCCTTGTGCTTCAAATGGCGACATATTGAGGGCTGTGGTAAAAGTTGTCTTGTGGTAAGACATAAAAAGCGTTTTTCCTAGGAGCAGGAATTGGGCCAGTATTTGCGGACCAATAGTATATGGCACAGTGCCGTATACATACGTGTTGCTTAATAAACATAGATTCAATTAAAATGTATTCATGTATGAAAAACACACACATTATGTCAGCTCCCAAACATTTTCCTCGTATGTAAGCTCCCGTCCTCACAAAATCATCTGCTTTTCAGAAAGCTTCTTCAAATACAGAAATAGCCATTATATATGTAGCGGCCATGATCTCCGTCCCAATCTCTAATTCCTCTGATTGGAGATAAACCTGCCATTCAATTCCTTCATGAAAACTGCTAGATTCTCCCACCAAGAGGACCCATGTCAGCAACAGCAGTCTGTAATATTATAATAGAAATGTTGACATCAGAGAGAAAAAGGGGACGTGATGCCTATTCATATAATTTTGAGAAGTTTATGAATTGATCCTGTTACTGTTTTTGTTCACTTCCTCCCAAAAGAAATGTATGACAATGTAAAAGGTCTTTCCCAACATTCAGAATCAGACTTAAAGAAAACCTCACTGCTCCAGCCAACTGCTTCCGCCAGTGTCAAAACTCTTTATAGACAACCTCTGACGGGAGATTATCCAGGCCCCACTCATTTATGATTATTGATATCATCTTACTTATGATCGATATATATATACACACACACATTCTGTTAAATTCGTGTATCTGTACATATTTTTTTTTTTTTTTTGAGACAGAGTTTTGTTTTTGTTGCCCAGGCTGGAGAGCAATGGCACAATCTTGGCTCACTGCAATCCCCGCCTCCTGAATTCAAGCGACTCTCCTACCTCAGCCTCCCAAGTAGCTGGGATTATGGGCATGCACCACCACGCCTGGCTAATTTTTTGTATTTTTAGTAGAGACAGGGTTTCTCCACATTGGTTAGACTGGTTTCAAACTCCCAACCTCAGGTGATCTGCCCTCCTTGGCCTCCCAAACTGCTGGGATTACAGGCATGAGCCATCACACCTGGCCTGTACATATTATTTTATATCTAGGGCTCAAAAACGCTGCACACACAGGACATGTGGGTGAAGAGTCGTAGTTACTAATAATGGCAACAGCAGCTGCATCTCAGCGACAATGACCACTAACACACCTACCTGCCGGATACTCATCTCACCTTCCTTGCATAATCAAATTTTGTCTTTGGGAAAGCATACTTGATTATCCCAGGACAAGGCTCTAACTCCAACCATGACATAAGTCTCCCTGACTCCTGTATTGGGAACTGTGCCTTACATCTGTGCACCGTTAGCTTTTGACCCCAGTTCATTCATAAGTATCTCCACTTGGGTACGATTCTTTTGCAGCCATATCGCAGAAATGGTTAGAGAAGTTATGCCTGTTCCTTTATGAATCACTGTCCAACACGTCCTTCCTGAATTTCCTCGCCCCTCATTTTCTCCTTACTGCATATGCACTCTGTTCTGTCCAATGAAGTTTTGTGCAGGTTATTGCCCAGGTTCTTATCATGGTTATAATCCTGGGCTTACAGCCTCAAATGAAGTCCAAGAATTAGACAAGATATGTGCCTCCATTTTACTTCTTATCATGGGTCCTTTTCTGCTGCCTCAAGCTAGAATAAGCATAACTCTTCCATACAGAACTCTTCCTTAGTCTTAAAACACTAAGGAAAGGATGTCATGCCTGCTCTGATGTTACTATTTTCTGGGCTAACCATGCCAAGATCCTTGACTGTCTTTTCCTGTGATGTGATTTTCAGCCTTTCATGCAGCCTCATTGACTACCCTTATTTTCTTCCTCTTAAAAGTGCCTCTGAAACTGTAGTGTCCAGAACAAACGCATTACATCATTCATGAACTGAACAGTTCTAAGAAAAAAGAGGAAAATTACTTGATCCAGGCATAATTCTAATGCCAGCTAAGACTACATTTGTTCTCTTGGCAACTACGTCCCTCAGTAAGTTCAGATAGGTGTTTAAATTTAACGTCAGCCCACCCCTAAATCCCTGACACACTCACATATACTTCCCATAAGCCTGGTGTCTTTAGTCTATCCGTTTACAGCTAATTTTTTAAACCAACTTCAAGTACCAGACTTCTTAATTTGCTCCATTAACTTTAATAGTTAGCACTCTCCCATCACTGCAATCTGTTGAGCTATATTTAATTCTGATTCTCTCATTTGGCATACTAGCTGTCTTTCTCAGTTTTATGATATCCACAAATTTTATGAACTTCCTTTACTTTTAGTTCTGACGCTAAAAGAAATACAAGTCCAATAACAGATCTTATGGCATAAAACAGAAAACAAATCTGAAACTTATATACTTATATATTGGTTAGTTAATTTATTCCTTGTTTAATCCTGAGGAATGGGTATATTTAGCCCCATTTTATAGGTGAGGAAACTCAGAATGGCTAACTTGCTCCAGAGCATGTAGCTAGTAGATTGAAGAGCTGAATTAAAAAATGTCTTTGATTTAAAAATTGTACACCTGTTTCCCTATATTTGCAGTCTTCTAGTTGACAAGGATTCATTATACTCGGATTGATATGATTTGGCTATGCCCCCACCCAAATCTCACCTTGAATTATACTTCTCATAATCCCCATGTGTCACAGAGGAACTTGGTAGGAGGTAATGTAATCATGGAGTAGTTACCCCCACGCTGTTATTCTCACGGTAGTGAGGGAGTTCTCGTGAGATCTGATGGTTTTATGAGGGGCTTTTCCCACTTTTGCCCTGCACTTCTCCTTGCTGCTGCCATGTGAAGCGGGATGTGTTTGTTTCCCCTTCTGCCATGATTGTAAGTTTCCTGAGGCCTCCCCACCCATGCTGAATGGTGAGTCAATTCAACCTCTTTCCTTTATAAATAACCCAGTCTCAGGCAGTTCTTTATTATCAGCTTGAGAACAGACTGATACATTGTTCCACTAGCTATGCACACACAAAGGCAATGTTGAAAGGCAATGACATGTTTAAAAGACTTAAATGACTGTTCAGATAGAATGCTAACTCACTCCTCACTTACAAAGGGGGTTACATATTACAGAATCATGCATGTGAAGAGGATTGAGCTCTAGTTAGTCAAAAACTTTCAGTTAATCTACTGGCTGAAGAACCCTATACTGGGGACAAAAGTTTAAATTCATTTTACAGCTGTCATAGGTTCTACATTCTTTACAAATGTGTATCTAATATTGAAAACCTCAGACTGCCTTAAGGCATGCTGCAAGTATATAGTAAAGCTCCTGCAGAAGGGATTCATAATAGCAAATATGATCGATGGGTGTGTTACATTCACACAAGAGACAGACATAGGCATATTCTACAACATGCTGTGCTTTTTCTGCAAATTCTGAAACAAAAAGTGCTTCCAAAAAGACTGTTTATGTACATACTAGAACTCACAAAACAGCAACACGGCTGGCCCATCCCTCCCCCAAACCAGCAACGTGTTTAAGTCTCAATCACCTTATGTATAACTTGCTTCTATTAAAATAATAAAGTCTATTGTTTCCCTTTATTCCTTTCTTTCCTCAAGATAGAAACACTAACCCTCTGTATATTGAGAAAATATTTTTATAGCTCGATAAAGTTACGTTTCTTTACAAATACAAAACCAAGAACATTAATTAACAATGGCTTGTGATTTTTTCCCCAAAAATAAAAGAATGATTCAAATTCATCTCTTTTTTCCAGTATATTAATTTTACTCCTATTAGAGCACTCAAATAATAGGATGAGCAAGAGTGTGGAGAAGTGAGAATAGAAGTCCACTGAAAGCTAAAAATGATTTCTGTTCACAAAAGACAAAATGCAGAATACCCAAAATGTGACCCAAAGGAACAAAATTTCTAGTTTTAAATGTTCTTGAAGCAGCTTTAAACATGCCCATTTTTATCTGTTTTCCGAACCCAGCTTTGATCAAAATGTAAGTGTTTTTCATTTAAAAGCTTCTTATATCATGGCTTATACAATTGACAATGAAAGACAGGCCAAACAAAATAAAGACCTAAAGTATTTTCTCCATGCTTTGTCGGAGGGCGACTGGACAGAGGAATTAAGAACAAGTTTCTAGATGCCTCTTACATTCGTGTGATCTCAAGACAGTATTGCTTGATTAGGGTTGTAATCTAAAAATTCACCCAGAAGGTTATGAGTACTGAATTTATATAAAAAATAAAATGTAGTTAATTTTAAATACGATTATAATATGACTAGGATTGTATACTTACATGTCACTATATTTAAAATTCAGGAAATTGAACAGAATACACAAATATTCACATATTTTTAAAATTTATATCATGTAAATAATATATTTGGTTTTTATATATTTATGGGCACATGAGATATTTTAATATAGGCATATAGTGTATAATAATCACAGGGTAAAGGAGGTATCCATCACCTCATTTATCCTTTCTTTGTGTTACAAACATTCCAATTATATTTTAGTTATTTAAAAATGGACAATAAATTATTGACCATAGGCAGCCTGTTGCTATCAAATATTAGATCTTATTCATCCTGCCTATTTTATTCATACCCATGAAGCATCCCCACTCCCCCCACACCCACCCTACTACCCTTCCCAGCCTCTGGTAACCATAATTCTACTTTCCATCTCCTAACATACTATTTTTGTCTTGACATTTTTATAATTTTATGAGAAACAGTTCTCTTTGTTTATCAATCTTCTGTTGATATGCGTAGTCTAGAAAATAATGAAGTTTGTAGATACTGTGTTTGGATATTCAAAATGAATTAAGCAACTTGGACAACGTGAACAACAGACTGTAAATGTATAATTCTAGCACGTAACACAAGTGATTTGTCTGTGCAATCGTAGCATCTAAGGATAAGTAGGTTCACAGGGTTACATAAATCAATATTTACCTTGTGTTTTCACTGGGTCTGATATTTGGCTTGGATCACTAATTCCATATGCATTAGCTGCCCTCACAAGGAAAAGGTAAATTGCATTAGGTTTGAGTCCTTTAACGGCAAATGTTTCTGTTTTCACATTCTCTGCTACGGTCTGCCAGCTGCTACCAGATGCGTGGCTAAGGACAGACACACAGGTTAGAACATGCGTATTTAATGGCAAATCAAACAAGAACAAGTACGAAGCGTCTCCTTCACTCTACCTGAAGGCTTCTATAATATAAGATGTTGGAGTTGCTCCTGAATTCAAATTTGGTTGCCATGATAATGTTACTGTATTTCTGCTGACATCTGTAACTTCAGGTTTTGATGGAGCACTAGGAATTAAATTTGGGTCAGTGGGTCTTGGAGGCTGAACAGGAACTCCAAATTCTAAAGAGTAGGAAAAAGACCAAAAAAAAAAAAAAAGATCTTTATACATATACAGATAAGCATATAAATGCAAATAACATATTCATACACATATTCAAGGAATAGGATATTTACTTTACCAATATACCAGTAAGTAAACAACTGTATTTTAAGCTTTACTTTAAGCCAAATATACCATTTAATTTACCTTGGACTTCAATGTAAGCACTCCATGTTGCTTCACCGCTGGGAGTTGATGCAATGCAGGTGTACCGACCAGTGTCACCCAGCTGAGAAGGTAGACAGAAAATAAATATTTGGAAAAATCAAGAGCTTACTGGGCTGAAAAAGCAATTACAGGTTTGTATATAATCCATGAATATGGAAAACTGCATTAAAATTCACTAACTGGAAACTTCCCCTTAACTGAATATATTTTTATTGAATGTGAAGAAAAATATTATATCAATATAGAAAAAAAGATTTTATATGGTTGTTCTAATGGTATAGTAAGAAATATTTAACTGCATTAGCATATGTTATTATATCAGTCTCAGGAACAATCATTCTTAAGGTAAGGCATGTAACTCTTCAAATTCAAAGCATTAATATTTATTGCTAAAATATATCAATGATTAATAAGTCATATAATAAGGCTGATAAAGTTTAACCAATGGCTATTCTTGCTATTTCATATTTTATCAGTTATGCCTATATGGATACATGAGGTAAACAAACGGGATAGCCATCACAGAATTTTTTCTTAAAATATTGACTTTCCCAGGTTTTAAAACCTATAACTTAAGATGGTTTACGAAGCACAAAGCCAAACTCAAGCTGGAATGAACACTATCCCTCCCTTTTGAAAACTGAATGACAGAGAGCAAACATGGGTCACACATTCAACTTTCAAATCAGCAGCAACATAATAAACCCATCTACTTCTGCTCAAGCTAGTAACTATCCTCAAGTAACATTTGATAAAGAAAGAATGTTGTCATCTTGCTTTGGCAATTGCAATAACAAAGTCACAATAGTCACAAAGAAGCGCAACGTATTAACTGTATGGCACTTAAAGTGAACTGTGATGCTGATCCAGCACTCCAAAGGAGCCACCCACACTAGGAAATAAAGCAACTGAAATTTATATTTATTGCTGTCAGGACTATTCTTTCATGTGCCTCAGCAGCTTGTTTGATCTTGACCTAAAAAAAGAAGAAAAATCAAAACAATACAATCCTGTAAGAGCAGGCATGGGATGTGATGCCCTGTGAAAGTAAATCCTTACATGATTCCCACAAACCTGTGGGCTTTCCATCATTTAGCATTCTGATTTGAATTGTACACTCGGGGTGCACATTGCTTTATGGCTTTTGTTTGCGTGTATAGTTTTGCAATTGCAAAATGCTGAGACAAATACAATAGAAGAACTATCTAAGTATATTGCACATAAAATGATACACGTAAATATCTCAAGACATGCTTTCTGGAATGATTGCATCATAGCACTACTTTGAACGTATTTAATCTCTCATAAACCCTTATTTACTTTCCTTCACAGGTTCTTATAAATCTTCTCCATCTAACCTTAAATTACCTGCCATGAACTAAATCATGAGTTAAATCATCTCAACCATATATAATGAAACACCTGAAAAAAACACATCAAATTAAAAATATATTACTACTCTTCATTTACCATTTCATTAGTGGCGAAGTTTGAAATTTCAGCGCTAGTTGTTGGAGGCACAAAGTGAAATGAAACAAGAAACCCATGGTGCCATTCTAAGTTACCTTAGCATATCGGATCTGCAGCACCCCATTCTCCAACTGTTTGATTCGAGAATCTTGGGTTGAAACGAGGACTCCATCCTTTCTCCACAGAATTGTGGGCACTGGACTGCCTGTGGCCACACAGCTGAGGACAAAAGTGCCATCCACAGCTACAGTCTGATTCACAGGACCTTGTCGAATAACTGGGGGAGGCCGATCTGCAATCACTGCCAGAAGAAACAACAGGAAATAGATTTCTGCAACTGGAAGCAATTTTCTGATCATCCAAGCAACAGCAGTTGCTCTAGGCTTTGAAACAAACTAAAGATAATTAAACAAGTAATTAAAGTAGGAGACATGCATTATTCAAAATGCCTTTATATGATGCACTGATTCAGAATATTAAAATGAGATACAGTGTGCTACTTTCAAATGACCAACCACTCACTGAGCTTGCTGCTTTGTTAAGAGGCCTCAAGAGTGGGATTGTGGATGGTGAGGTAGATACAGAGTCGTGATCATGGGATACTGTACTTTTTAAACTTAATAATATGACAAAACACAACATGACAAAAAAATCATTTATCTCAGAAAACATGAATTTTTAATAAATGAAGAAAAGCCAACTTAACAGATCATAACTGCGTTCTGTAACAGAAAAAAACATGGTAGCATACCAGCATATTTAACAATTTTGGGTCCAACAAAGTGCACTGGACTTTCATAATTTAATAAATCAGTATGATTGAGCTCACTGTGTCTTTTTATCTTGTAATTCTTTCTATAACAATACATATGGGATAAAATTATACAATTACAGTGAATTCAAAGAAATTGGAAAATTGCCCAAACACAGTGTTGATTGGCTGATCCAAAGAGACAAGTCAAAATCATGTTTTAACTTGGCAAATACGGTACTTCTCTATTGGGATTAATAGGATTGGGAATGTGCCTCTGCTAACTCCGTTACCTTAAGTAATGGATATAACGTACTATGGAAAATAACAAGAGGCAATTTTATTCTGTGTAAATACAATTATCCCTATTGCTACATTAAAAAAATCTAAAATGTAAAAACTTTATCTGACATAGTCTTTTTTTATGGAAAAATTAGAACAACTGTGTTGGAGCTAGAATAAATGCTACATTGAAGAGGTGTTCCCATCTCCTGATTCAGGCAATTTATGTGAAACTGTTCTTTTTAACGAATCAAAAAATAAATTTCAGAAATTCTCTATAATTATTCAAGTTGAAAATTCTGGATATTAAAATTTTTTTAAAGACACAAAAGTACAAAGAAAGATTCTATGTTGCCTGGTTAAATAAAACTAGTTGCCAGAGTAACTAAATTTTGGAGGCAATAATTTTCAAAGCTGGATCTGTTACGTTTGAAGTTTTAGGCACCAAAGACTTTTACAAGCTGGAGTCACACTTTAATTTGTTCCTCATTTATCATGAAATAAATATTAGTTTTGTGCATTCAAACTAAAAAAAAAAAAGAAAGGATGAACAGGAAAGTAATGGAATGAAATCAACAACTGCATTTCTACTCTACTCTTCTAATTATCTTCTATGTCTTGGTTACTAAGGTGAAGTTTGCTAATACCAAGGGCTGTAGTAGAAGGCTAGAGTTTGAAACTTGCTAGGAGTGTTATTTATAACTGATTATAATTAAGTCCAGTAGAAGAATGGTTGAAATTTGGTGGCCTTGTCATATTTAGAAACAATCCAATATCTGGGAACATATTCAATGCTCTCTATCTTTGTAGTTCTTTGATATTTGTATTATATATACTGTCATCCATGCCTCCCCATTCCATCAAACCCAGTTACTGATGTCATTTGTTTTTGTATAATTTACAATGCATACTTAACAAAAATAAAGAAATAAAAGAAAAGGTTCAGCTCCAGCATCTGCCATATGTCTTTGGGCAAGTTCCTTAAATTCTCTCAGCCTCAGTTTTGTTTTGCTTTTAAATCCATAAACTAAGCACAATAATTTTTTTTGAAATAGCTCAGGCAGGGCATTGTTATGAAAATCTAAATGGAACAGATAAGGGAGTGCCTAGCTAATTGCAAAAGGCCAGACATATATATGTACTGTAATATCATCACTAGTTCTCTTTGGTAAAAAAGAAAAACAAAACTATTATGTAAATCAGAGATGAAAGATTTGGCTAGGCACTGTGGCTTACGCCTATAATCCAGCACTTTGAAAAGCCTATTGAGGTGGATTGCTTAAGTCTAGGAGTTCAAAACCAGCCTGGGTAACATGGCAAAACCCCATCTCCATCAAAAAACATAAAAAACTAGCCAGTCATGGTGGCATGCACCTGCAGGCCCAGCTACTTGAGATACTGAAGTGGGAGGATCACCTGAGCCCAGGAGGTTAAGGCTACAGTAGTGGGCTTTTATCAGGCCACTGTACTCCAGCCTGGGTGACAGAGTGAGACCCTGTCTCAAAAAAGGAAAAAAAAGGAAAAAAGAGAGAGAGAGAGATTTAAGGGTTAATAAAGCAATTAAATGTCTTCAGGTAGAGAAATGAAAGTTTGTGATGTCATGAAGTAGAATAAAATACTTGTAAAATGTTTACATTTACAGATACCAAAGAATGTACTACATTTGAGTCAAACCTTCATTGAGAATGAGACAAACCTCATATTCAGGTCTAGGATCTTTTACTGAAATTATTAGAATGAATTATCAGGAAGTAAAATAGGAAGTATAAGAACCAAAAATGTTTAACAAAGTGATTCAATGCAAGAACTTTGGAGTTGGAAAATGTTAGTTCCATACAATGAAAATGTTCCATATCTGCTCTCTCCAATACAGCAGCCAATAGCTCCAGTGGCTACTGAACATGTAAGTGTAGCTAGAGTAATTGGGGAATTGGATATGCAATTGTATTTAATTTTAAGTAATTTAGATTCAAATTTAAATAGCTCCCATATGGTAAGTTGCTACCTTACAAAAGAGTGCAAACATATCAGTTCTGCTACTCACTGTAATTTGGGTACACATCTTCACATTCACTGCCTCAGTTTCCTCATTAGTGAAATTAGATGTGGTTAGATTTGAAATTGTTCATGCGTAAAAAGTTTCCAGTATAGTGCCTGGCCCAAAGTAAGCTTATCCTATAACCTGTAATTAGTCACTGTGGCTTGTTCTTGTCAGTATAAAAAGAATAGTGGTGGAAGTAGTGATGGTATAAGCAGTGTAACAGGCATAAAACTTTTATAACCCTGGTGTCACCCTGTTACAGCAGGGTTATAAAAGTTTAGCTATTTTTTCCACACATTTAATGAAAGACTTCAAAACTCCTCCAAAATGAGGGTATATAATCAGAATGTAGTAACTTTCATCTCAAAAATAGTGCTAATGAAGTCTACGTTAATACCCATAAATGTATTTATGAAATAATTTTAAGTGAAAAAGAGCAGAAAATAATATCCATAGTTGATTGGTTCATGTATGAAAAGTCACATTTATACACCAATAAACATCAGAGATAAAGAGCACAATTGTCATCCATTTACAAAATGCAAGCATCACATCTTGGAAATCTATAAATTTGGCTAGAAATTTTATTATTCCATTTTAGAAATCAGGGAACTGAAACTCTAGAAGTTCAAATGACTTGTCCAAATCAAGTAGTAACTGGCAAATCTCTTTTCTAAATAAAATATAACCCTCTGCACGATATATCTATAAATTTTGTGAGATGAATACAAATAATTTTACATTTTATACATTACGTAGTAATCATTAACTTTGTTTCCTTACATTCTAATATAATAAAGAGAAGAAAGATGTTCAGTTAAATAGAAGACATGAATTTGTATGTTTCTGAGACAAATGCTATTGGGGATAGGCAACATCTGCCGGCAACAGAACACTTTAAAGGCAGCTGCTACTTCTGTGTTTCATGTTTTATTCTGCCATAGTTTTTGTTTTGTTTGCAAACAGTGAAGAAGGTCAAGAAGCTAAAGCTATCCCAAAGTACTCTGCCTACTTGCCATCCTCTCGACTTGCTAATATATAAATTATTGGTATTTTCAGTTCTCACAATAATTATAGTTTTACCCATGAAGAATTAGACCATAGTGTTAAGCTGTTTGTGCAATATCAATAAACTCCAAAATAAAGCCAAAAAACTTTAAAAAACAGTACACAGCAAACACAAAACCACCTTAAAAGCCCCAGAGCTTACAGGGTGAAACAGAACATTTAGTGTTGAATTGGCTAGTAGGGATGAACCCCAAATTCACAGATTGAGAGATTTTGTTTTTGTTTATTATAGTTTAATAAAAGATCCATGCATGATCTAGTTTCACAAATACAAGCAATTAGTGATAATCTCATGTCAGTCAGCACATGAAATCCTTTGCTTTAAAGTAAAATTATAAAAATAGGAGATACTTGAGACTACTGGAGCATAGGTTTTTAATTTTTTTATGTATACCTATATATGTTACTTTACAAAGTTGCAATTATTAATCTATGTGTCATTCTATGTACTAATGTCTCTTTGTATTGGTTACAGTAATCATCAAATTCACTATGTAGTTTTCACAATCATTGTTTAAACTTCTCCTTAGATAATTACTATGTTTTATGAATCTTGACTGAATGCTACAAATTTATGATACATTTAAGTCAAAATAAGAATACTTTTGAACTTACCATTGTATCAACACTCTCTTAGGTTTTATACAAAAATAGCCATAACAAAGGTATAAAGTTGGAAATAACATATCTACTGGCACCCTCTTTGGATCCTAAGCCAAACTTGGACATTTTGAAATAAAATGCTTTACACTTTACCATCTGTAACTTCCAAATAGGCCTTTGTGATGATGCTTCCAGCAACATTTAAAGTCTGGCAAATGTAATAACCAACATCAGATCGCTGGACATTAGTAATTGTGAGGTCACCAGTCTGGGAGACTGAAAACCGGCTGGATGACTGTGGTGGTTGATAGGAGAAAAGCAGATTCTAGAACCCAGAAATTGAGAGAGGAAAATAAAAATAGGTTGTTAGTTTCCAATATTTTGGCATTTATACATTTACATTTAAAAACATACATATAGTATACATACACAGATACATATTTATCTGTCTATATACACATACAAAAATAAGCTAAATATTCTTCTATCACATGCCCAAATATATACATGTCCATGCACATAAATATCTACCTATGTACATATATACACATACAAGGTTTAATAATCTAACCTCAAATAGGGTTATTTGAAAATTAAACTCTAAAGAGTAATATATATTTTTCTATCAGTTTTTAAGCAATACTAGATACATAAGAATATTAACTATCATTATAGTAAAAAAATTTACATATTTAGAAAAACAGACAAAAGGGTTGCTTCATCTATATATGACTACTAGAATTATTAATACTAAGAACTTTAATATACTAAAAATCTAAAATGTAAACAAATTCTGACAAATTAAATTCAAGGATACTATTTTGGCACCGCAATAAGCATGTCTGTTAGCTAACCATTGTAAATGTTCAGTAATCTATACCCAACTTTTAACATACACTACACGTCTCTCCTGTTAAATGGTGAGAATATCTGTTATAGATTTTCTAAAATTCAGTACTGACTTTAATTGAAAAATCATGCTTCTTAGAGTTAGTGTATATGTCACACAAAATAATAGATCATGTTATTGAATTTCATGAAATAAAAAATAGTAATATTTTCCCTATCACAACAAAATAGATTCTTTTAAAAAGTTTTGGTGCCTTTTAATTTACATTATTTTATAAAGGTTTAAGTATTATTCCATGGATATATGTCCAATGACAACATTTTAGGGAAAATATGAGTTGTACTATTGAACTAAACCAAAATTATCTGAAAATTTGATGTAATGTTTAAATAACTTAAATGAATCACCAAAATATTACTCTATTAAGAAGACGTTCCAGTAGATTTACTATTTTCACTGCAAAGATTTCCTTCTAAAATGCACTTAAAATTCTTCCTGCTCTATTAAAATATTTCATTCTTTCTGTCTCTAATTTGCTGTCAGCAAATTTAGTTCTTTGAGGCCAAATGGAATGTGTTAGGACCCACCAAGATTCTAGAATTCAAAGAAGGGCCTATATAGCACAATCAAGTCAATATTTGGCTACCGAAGTGAAAGCAAAAGTGAACTTGATAACATTACCTACAAAATATTAAATTCAGTCAATAAATGACCTGTTATTTATCAGAGCACATTAGAAACAAGACCATGAAACAAACACCCACAATTGATTTAAGCAAAAATTTTAAAAAAAGGCCAGAAATAACTATTAAAAATCAATGAGAATCGTTTATTTACACATATCAGAAATAAGTAGGGGGAAACATTGTGTTTTATACACTTACATTTTGAGACAGGGTCTCGCTCTTTCACCCAGGCTAGAGTGTAGTGATGCAATCAGAGCTCACTGAAGTCTCTACCTCATGGGCTCAAGTGATCCTCCCTCCCCAGCCTCCAGAGTAGCTGTGACTAGAAATATTCACCACCATGCCCCATTTTTTTTTTTTTTAATTTTTAAAGTTTTGTAGAGATGAGGTCTCACTATGTTGCCCAAGCTAGTCTCAAACTCCTGAGGTCAAGTGATTCTCCTGGCTGAGCCTCCCAAAGTGCTGAGATTACAAGCATGAGTCACTGTGCCCAACCACGTTTTGTTTTATTGAAGAAGGCAAATCATTAAGAGATGAGACCAAAAGATATTTTAAACTCTTCTAAGATTTTCTATTTATTAAACTGAAGCCCAATAGTGAACTTAGAGTTTAAAAGAGCATCAATGTCTGTATTTCAGTTTCCATATACATAAAAAATTGTGGTTCATAAAATATTTAGAGTAATATTTGATAGCAAATGTTGACCACATATGATAGTTTTCAACATACTTGAATATAACAAATATATTTAACATGGCATCTCTGTTAAAGAGAATTTCATATAGGGTAATGATTCAGAAGGCAATTTAGACTCCTGAAGCTTTCTGAGAAATCACTGAATAGTTACCATCTGTTTTAAATGCACATGTCTTTTAAGATATATAATTTGATATCCAAATAATACAAATGACAATTAATTGAATAATGTTGAGAAAGAAGTGTTTCTTTTCTTTTTAAAGTGGCTGAACTAGAAATAAAGGTAAACTTTACATAACACCATCTGTACCAAAACTAGGTAGAGAAAATTGCTTTCAGAATTCAAGCAGTAAAGACAAGTTTGTTTTCCTTCTCATTTCTAAAATTTTCTGAACACTCAGAGATTTCTCATTTCTCTTAATGTGATAGCTGCATGACTAAGTGATATGTTGGTTTCTCTTCTCACCCATCTTGGCAACCATCGTTGCTGATTAAAAAAAAAAAAAATTAGAAAAAAGTGGTACCTGACTCCCCTCTCTCCTCCAAAAAATAGCTGGCTGAGGATTTCCGGTTGCTTCACATTGAAAAGTTACAGTCCGTCCCAAGGCAACAACCTGGTCACGGGGTTTCACAACAAAATGTGGAGGTTCTAAAGAAGATGAAACAAATGTCACTGAATTAAAAAGCATGTAGTTACTGTCCTAATTGAGACAATTACTTATATTCTAAGTGCTGTCACTATTTTATAAATGTTACATAAAACATTAATGATAATTATTGTCCTTAATTTGAAACTAAAATGTTAGGTTCACAGTTAGAGAATGAAATAGAGTTGTTATATGAAGTTTTTTATTACCTGACCTCCTAAGATTAACCCACATATTGAAAGGAATTCTAAAGCTACAATTTGATCCTATACATTCAAAGTATACCTGAATTGTTTATGAATAAATATGACCTTTTCTCATTTACTTCTGCTTTTAAAAGTGAATGAGATTGAATCATACACACAAGGACCTCCTGATGCAGGCAGGTTTTAAAATTACTTTAACTCAAAATCTCCTGAAATACTACCATGCAAATTATTAACATTTAAAATCTTCAGTCCAATTATTTGAATAGAAATGAATTTAAAGCAATAGTGGAGTCAAATGCCTCTTTCATTTACATAGGCAAGGGCATGTTCAAACAGAATATATATGGAAATGAGGGCAAATTTGAAACATCTGCTCATCCTGACATTATAAATACTGCCAGCTTTGTCCAAAGTGTTTGATTTATACTGATTTAAATGGCTACTTCATCCAGCAGCAAACAGAGTGTCAGAAAATTGTGTCAATTACATTGAATACAACAGCAGCTGAAAACATTAGGTGTGCTGATAGTGTCACTTCTGGAAACAAACAAACAAACAAACAAACAAACAAACTTGTTTTTGGGCTGAGCCTTGGGCTTGGAAAACTGTACACCAAAAGTAAGTCTTTTTACCTGCTGTTTACACTTTTCAAATTCATTTCTTATCGGCTGTCTTAAACACCTAATTTTTCTCCTCTCTTGTCTCAGTTTACATTGGAGTGAATGAATGCTTCAAGTGACATTTAACAGTTTCTACAGGACAGGGTTCGTCTACTCTTTAAGACTTTTCCATTATTTCTAACCTTCTCTTTAAAAATATGTTGAGTTACTTAAATCAGTCACTTAAGGGAAACTCCTTAAAGTGAATATGAATCAGATAACATTCAGATTCTGTTCACAAATGTCATCAGTCTGCTCACAATGGTTTAATTTATTTGTCAATGAAGGTCAGTATTTTATATTTGTCTTTTGCTTAATATTTTTGGTCATTGCATCTAATTACACACATACATAAAATATATTTTGTTATATTAAAAAATATAGATTTTATCAATTTATAAATTTTAATAAAATAGCTAAAATGTCCCTAATTCTGGGTATTTACATTTGTAGTTCATAAAAAAATTAATGGTTATTTAATATACATATTAAAATATGTATATATTTCAAATATATAACCTCCTTTAAAAAAAGTAAATGTAAAACGACTTTATGATTGCATGGTGGCAAAACTGAGGAAAGTAATTAGATCTCCTAACTTCTAGATTAGTGTTCCTTCTTTTATACGTTTTTTTTTTTTAATTGAGGTTAAGTAGAAATTATAACATTTGACTAGAAAATTATAGGAGACCTGAAAAATCAGGTCACAGGCTTTCAAAGGCCCTCTAACTTATAGGGAAGAAAATACGAAGTTAGGAAACATAGTTTAAGTTCAATTTGGTAAAACTGAAGTTCTAGCTTATAATTTTTTTAAAAACTGTGATTGTGATTGAGTGGCTTACTCATGAATTTAGCAAACACTATCATTATCCAGGTATAATAATAGGCAAGTGCATCATTGCTTGGGGATTTTTCTCCAGTACAAATCCATACAGGAGCATTCTATTCCTCAAGGGTTGGAATAATTGATGTCAAAATCAGACCAATAAATTGAAAAGATTGACTGGATAATAAACTAAATTCAGCCTGGAGTTTGGTTTGCTTCAATGAAAGAAATCCAAGTGATTAATTAGATGAGTGGGAGAATATGACTTTCCAATATGCAGGGAATTTGAGTAGGAAAATATAAATGTTCAAACCACTTAGTTAAGTAAAAAACTTCGGGTGGTCTCTTTTCTAAATCTCAGAAGCATGTTTAAGAACGTGTGCCAGAATCTATGTTTCTTTTATAAAATGCCAGTTCTCCTCAAACCTCAAAGACTTATTTGAGAACAAGGAATACAAACCCTTATGCTAACTACATTCATCCTGAAGCAATCCTTCCACACAGGATATTTGCCTGGAAACGAATGTACTACATTTTGTAGGCATATTCTGAAGCCAACATCAACAGTGACATCAACCACAAGATATGTCTTAGAAATATAACTTATAAAAACCCTCTTCTACATGTGTGTTAAATATCAGTTGTAGTAGATGTACCTCTAAGAAAAAATTTAATGGACTAAATATGCTTCTATCTATCAATCTGTTATTGTGATCTATTTAGCTGAGAAGGTCATTCATTATCCACCTGATGTTTATGATGTTTGTGATGAAATACTGGAATTTTTTTATTCCAAAGAAAGCTACAAAATATAAACTTGCTGTAATAAAAAATATGTAATCATGTTACCAAGGTCATTTATGTTTAGAGGTGAAAATCTATAGAATTAGACAAACGGGAAAAAAAGAAAAGCTGCCAATAATTATATTACAGATATTGGGTCATACTGCTTAAAAAAATCATTTTAAAGACTGTTTAATAAACAATACGCAAATTACTTTTAATTACTAAACCAATCTCAATTGTTTTAAATTTAGGTTATTTCTGATTTTTACTGTTAAAAATAATGGTAATGTTAACATCCTTCTGACACGTATAATAAAAATTATTTGCTAGCCGTAGAGTTACGGGTTCTGAAAATATGCAAAGATCCAGGGTGTATTAACAAGTATAGCTAAACCATGCTGAGGAATGTTTTAAATCAACTGATACTTTCATTAACTGCATACAAATAGCCTTTTCTCCCGAACCTCACAAACATTGAGCATTAACATCTTTGCCAAACTAAGGAGAGATGCTCCTCTTAACTAACATTTTTTGATTTGAAATGTTAAACATTTATCTTCAAACCACCTTGTGGTTGATCGTTGATTTGTTGTGGGTACAGTTAGTGCTCACGAGCTCAGATTTTTTTTGGATTTCTAAGAACTGCTGATAGGCTACAATTTTAGCCATTTCTCCTATAGGCTGTAACTATTTTTCCATTCTATTAATAGTATTTCTAATCTATTTAGGCATTTTTGTCATAGTAATAAAATTATATAATATAGATTGTATAATACATAATAAATCACATAAATATTCAACTCATTTATCATCCTGTGCTTTTATACCTTTATTATTTTATTTCATTGTCTACATGTATTGTTTTTTCTTTTTTCTTTATTTTTGTTGTGCATATACTTTAATTTTTTTTAATACTTTTTAATTTTTTAATTACTTTTTAATTGTTTCTTTATTTTTGTATTTTTGTAAGGTATCATATAGAAAGCTATTTTTTCAAATAGCCAGATATTACATTATCATTGAACAATCCATCCTATCTGTATTAATATGAAAAGTCACTTCTATAATATTATTATAACTTTTTTGTTTTTTTTTCTATTTTTGAGACAGGGTCTCACTCTATCATTCAGACTGGAAGTGCAGTGGTGCCATCTTGGTTCACTGCAACCTCTGCCTCTTGGTTCAAGTGATTCTCCTTCCTCAGCCTCCTGAGTAGCTGGGATTATAGGAGTGCACCACCAGGCCTGGCTAATTTTTGTATTTTTTGTACAGATAGAGTTTTGCCATGTTGGCCAGGCTGGTCTTGAACTCTTGGCCTCAAATGATCCATCCACCTCTGCCTCCCAAAGTGCTGGAATTACAGGCATGAACCACCACACCTGACCTACTGTAACTTTTTAACTTAAAAATAGTGAGAGAGATTCTTTTAGGGTCAGTGTTATTCTCTGGCATACCCTTTTGCTTATTTATGTAAAATTATCTAAAAATTGCTTTCTAGTGACCTTATAAAATAATTGGACCATTCTCCAAGGTAAGCACTTAGAAATTTGATGGCTTATTATTTATATGGGGACAAATGTTTAGCAAAGTACATTTTGATAAACTTTAGACACATCATAGGATTATTTCCTATACAAAATGAAATGAATCTGACACACAGAAACGAAAATGAGTGCAAACAGTCCTAAGTGGAAGGCTATTAATCACCAACAGGATTTTTAATGACTATTATTGAACAATAGTTACAAAAACTCATACAGACACACATGAATCCACAAATATATTTTGAACCTAAAAGAACCAAAATCATTTTGTGCATGTATTTTTGTTTAATCTTATGAGATATAAATTGGACCAATACTTAACCAAGATACATTCCTACCACTTATTTCAGGAAAGAAGAAATAAAAGGATGCAGATCACACATAATTTAATAAGATATAAAGTTAGCAACCCCATTACCTTTACTCTTTGTCACAGTTACCCATACTTCCTGCAGACTTTATTCTGTGTAGTCTGTCTTTGTGGCCAATGACAAGTGAAACATGGAGGCTGATTGGTTGAAGGACATGGAAGGGTATGGATGGAAAGGGGAAGAGAAGTTCCAGTCACAGTGACACGGTGATTAGAAGATGGCCAATAAAATGTCAACTTACCAGACCCAACTAAAACAAAACAAAAAAAGAAAACATGGAATAAATAAAAATAAGGAAACAGAAAATGAAACAGAAAGTACTAAGATTTGACTTAACAATGATTCTTATTTTAAGATAAAGAACATGTTAATATTTGAATATATGGCTCACACTATCCATGAATGAATATTTGTTAGCATTTTAGGTATAATCATGAATAATTTAAGAAAAATAGAAATGAAGCTTAAATTCTCTACTATGATTAAATGGCAGAGCTACAATGGATGAGAACTACAAAATTATAAAACATTTAAAAATAACTTTACATTTTGCTATCAGATTATAGGTTAGATTACTAATATGTAATGGGTTTAAAAACACTATAAATCTTAGATGCTAAAACTATACCGATATTAAAAATTGAGCATTTTTAGCAAAAAAGAACATTAAATTCCACAACTCCATCATCAGTTTAATTTTTAAAAGGTTTATGCTGCCAATAATATTCTATGATACTGAAATCCATGCTTCTCATACTCAAATAAGCATGAGTCACCCTGAGAGCTGGTTAAAATACAAACGATTATGCTACAGGTTAAACGTGTGACTGGAGATTTTGCATTTCTAACAAGCATCCAGGTTTTGCTGCCCCATGATCATAAATTGAATAAAAAGTCTTTAAAAAGGTGTTACATTTAAATTCTTGCAAATTTTTAATTGAGATGATGTATAGAAAAAAGTGAGTAAGTTATGAGAACCAAGAAAACTCTATAATCTTATCTATAAATCATAATCACATTTTCTGTTTTCAATATTGAAACATTAGGCATCTTAATAGAGAAAGCTCAAATAACATATATTTAAAATACTGGAAATGGCTATTTTGTTTCTCTCTGTTTTAGAAGCAAATATAATTACTGTCAAATGCAGAACTTTTTCATAATAGCCCAGTAGAAACCTACAATATATTTTACTCAAATAAATAACTTCCATAGCTTTCAACAAATCAAAATTAATTAGACTTGATACACATTCCTGTAGTTTAAATAAGTGCTAAAGGTTGTTGTTAAGTAGTACAGTTATAACACAAAGATAAAATTTATATTGCATACTTTTGTCCCAGATGCAAAATTTCAAGGTAATTTAGAAACAGTCTTTTAATTCCCACACTTCCTTCAACATGAGTGAAATAATGTCTTTATTTTTCATTCCAAAGAAAACAAATTAGGCACAATTTTTCACTCACTCAAGTTAGAAAAGCTAAAAAGAAACTTTCTCATTTACACAGCCTTAATGTTTATTACAGCATCACCAGTTATGCTACCCAGACTCAAAAACACAGAATGGAAAGACCATGGTTACAGTTTTTGATACCTTACAGATGATGTCTTTTAAAGGACAGTAAGAAACATTTAGGCACTACAAAAGAGAGGACCTGACAAACTGTAACAATAGAATTTTGCTTCGAGACAACAAAGTTATAGGATTATCTTTTGTGAAAATAAATTAATAGGATAATTAATAAATTTATCATTTATTAGTATTTAATAAATTGTATTTAATATTAATAAATTTATAATTTATCAATTTATAATTAATAAATTATAGGATTAATCTGTGAAAATAAATTTGATCCCATTAGGCTGAAGCAGTTAAAATAAAGCCTTATTTAAAGTCAGAAAAGTAGAGAAATGATTCCTAAATACTTTCATGTATTTTCAGTAATTAAAAATTCCTAAAACATTTCAAATATATATATTAAGAACAAAAAAATATTTTTTATAATTATCCAAAAATTTATTGGAAAGGACCTGATTTAAAAATTTTAAATAACCCCTTTCTTGCTTACAGTTTTTACTAGCAGTCAACCCATAGGAGTAGAATCCTTTTATTAATTAAAATCCAATGGGTTTAAGAACTTTAGGCTAATGAATGTGCCTATCACATCAATGACAGGTGATAACTGAAAAATATTTTATAGCCTATTAAGGATCTTAAAAATTATCTAAGAACATTATCTAACATAGAAGCTTCTCAAACATCAGAGATTTGGAAAGAACTCTAACTTGAATGGTCATTTAAGCTTTTAACAACTATGATTACCAAGAAATGAATCCTCTTATCTAAAGGAAAGCCTGTCTGTTCAGAATTTAACCCTCCTTTCATTTACTTTTAGTAAACAAATAGAAGTCATTAATATTGACTACATAAAATCCTTATACTCACTTGAAAAAAATTACCATCCCTAACGTTCTCAGCTAAATAAGAAATTATATGAATTTATTTAAGTTTTCACCATATTCTTACTTTCTCTACATTTCTCCAAAGGTCAGGTCAAAGATTTCCTTTCCATACAGAGAGGATTGTCCTTTCTATGAAACAGGCAGATTTTAATTATTGTCCCGCTGGGTATGGCAGAAAGAATCAGGGAAAAAAAAAAAAAAAAAAAGCAGAGTAACTTGGAACCCGTTCATTCATTAGCTTCTAACATTCAACATTTATGGGAGGCTGAATCCTATCCTTCTCATAGCCCTTCTCAACTTCATTCCTTTCTGGTTTTAAGGTTGGAAGCACCTGTCTCCCAAGTCCCTTCTCTTGCTAAGAGAGGGCAAAAGCCTGTCTGTTTCTGTCTCTAATAAAACTATAAAATGTTGGCACTGGAAGTGACCTTAGAACTTACCGGCCTGACTTTGTTTGGCACAAGAAAACAGAAAACCTAAATTGTTAAATAACTTTCTCAAGGTTACAGATGGTTCACAATAGACTGGCTTCTAGACCTCCTGACAATATTCAACTCTCTGTACAAATTTGTCCACTGGTTAGTCAGTAGAAAATGAAGTATATGGTGAAGTATATGCAATAGTATATAAAACGCATTTGATTTTACATTTAAAATGCCATAAATAATTGTTTAACCTAAAATCGTTACTACCAAAATCATCACTAAGTACATATATATAAACTGGTTTTAAAGAATTCTTCATATTAAAAATATTTTAAGAATATTTAGCTGTAGTTTAAAAAAGACCTGGAAACTAACAGGTGATAACACAGACTTAATGCTGCTTGAAAAATTTATTTTTGCAATAAAAAGTACTGCAATCATTTTTTTAAGGGTAAACCAATTTTAATTATTTCAGACTTGAAATCTTTATATTTTGAACAAAACACCCATCTTTTTTGAAACATTAAAACAGTATATTTCTGACAAGAATCCCCCTTCTCTGTCTCACACAGACAACACACACACACACACACACACACAGACACACACAGACAACACACACACACACACACACACACACACACACACACACACACAGAGCCACTACCACTTAGAATAAAAGACTTTCTTCCTTTTTGAATGTGGTATCATAAAGTTCCAAATTACGCCTCTGTTTTGAAATCTTTTGTATACTAAGAGTATGCATTGCTCAGAAAGTGATCTTCAGGTATAAATAAGAAGTTAAGAGAGACAGGAAATAAAAGAAAGGACAAAGGAAATAAAGAAAAGAGGTAGGAAAGAAGGAAGTGAAGGAAGGAGGAAGATTCCTCTTATCTTCTATCTGCTTGTCATATTCAGGACACATGTGTATCAGTCACAAAGATGATAAATGTTTGGAAGAACATTATACAGAGGTTGGGGCAAAAGACCTTTTTCATCTAAAGAAAATAAGTTAGTTGAACAGATACGTAAGAAGTCTTCAGATTAGGTCTAATAAGTAAAAGGAACGGCCAATCCTTATAACTACTAAGGCCAGAAGAAAAGATGATAATGGGCCTAAATAATAGCATGAACAACTCAAAGAAGTCTAGAAAAGAAGCAGTTAACAGTAAAGATCACTGAACCATGAATTGGTTGCCAACTATGATGTCTCTAGAGGTCTTTTAAAATAGGATTTATTTCCATTTGGCCACAACAGTTTAGATATAACTCTTTCTGGCAAAGGGACAGAGAAATTGAATCTTAAAGTGCTTTCTGTCCTATGGCTTTAATTGCATGGACATTCAGAAGCATTTAATTTTTTAAAAAATATAATGATAGAAGATTGCTATGGTATTTGGGTCCAAAATAATTTCAGTATTACAAACTCTTAAATTGACTCTATAGAATATGTTACTGTAAAGCAAAAGTATCTACAATAGGATCAATCCTAGTAGTGAATATCAGAGAACTGCTTTTTTTTAATGGGCTAAAATGAAATAATCTCTACTATGGAATTCTTCTGCTCATTTATAGACATGTTTTCACTGCTAGTAGCTAAATGCTAATGAATCCTTAAATTGAGGTGATTTTTTTTCCATTCTCATCTATATTACTTTTTGAACATAGAGCTCAGTTAACAGATCTGATAGTCTAGAACTGTAAACACCACACTCCAGAGAATATGAATGAAGTAAGGAAGCGAGTTAAAAGAAAAAAAAAAAAAAACGTTTGGGAGAAACACATTTTTATTCAAATACAAGGGCCCAAATTCTCAAGTAGTGAAGATAAGTATATTTGAACTGACAAAATCCAGTCACTAGTATATTGGAGAATTTGTATACACAGATACTCATGAATGATAATATCTCTAACAATTAAGTCTTAGGATATTTTAACACGAGGTATGATTTCTTTTTGGGGGAAAGATTGAGTTTAACATAAAAGCCTGTCATTACGTCTTTCAACTTTTCAGACACAAAAATAGAGAGACAAAGGGGGCCATTTTTAGAATATATTTAATGGATACATAAAATACTATGAACTTTTCACCTCCACTTAAATATCTCACATTATTCTGTAGAACAAGAGTTCTGGAGACAATTTTGACTGTCACACTGAAGTGGGAAGAAGCGGAAGTAGCAGGGAGCTACTAGCATTTAGTGGACAGAGGCCAATGATACCGTTAAACATCCTACAAAGCCTAAGAAAACCTCCTAAAACAACGAATGATGTAGCATAAAAATAGTGGCAGGACTCAAAAGTCCTGACGTAGATGAGCTATTTAGCTTAAAGCTTACCAGAATATTAACATACGTTCATTTCA